GGCTATGACCAGTTCGGCGGCAAGACAGGATAGTCACCGGACAATTGTTCTACAGGCTTTGCCCATTTCCATCTACTCTTTTGTGAGTTTCCAGTCTGAACTAGTGATATTCACCTTATAATTACAGCTTTTCTTGTTTGAGGACGTGTCATCGTTTATTTCGATTGTCGATTCTTTCGGCGACCAGTTTTCCTTCTTTTTCTTCGGAAAATTCGTTTTGTCAGGTAAAAGTGGGGGAAAAAGCTTGAATTGCTCCTGAATTCCAGGTTATATCGTACCTTTCTCATTTATTATTGGAAACCCGAAAAAGAGAAAAATCTTCACTTCATTCAGTTTCAAGGATCACTTCAAATCTAATAGAATATGGGATAAAAGATCTTCGGAAACTGTTGGGAATAAAATATAATCAAATTCTACAATTCATGATTTTGATATAGTTCATGAGAGTCAGTGTCTATTTTGAATTTAGTTACCAAATCGTCTTCAAAATCTACCAGGACTCCTTTTTATAACCTTAACCTCTAAAGCCAGTCTCGGCTAGAAATTATCACTAGTTAGGGACGCCAGAGTGGTTCCTAGAGGGGCCAGGAAGAAAAAAGCTTAAAGGGAAAAAAATATTGCACCCTAAAAGGGTAAAACTTGGGTGGTAGAGACTCATAGACTCAATAACAATACAAAACTAGTATGCTACCCTAGAGGTGTCACTTTTGCAAAGTTCAGTGGCCCCTAAAGCGGTAGATAAGGAGGTCCCTAGAGGGGAAACTTCAAGTGCAGCCAAAGCCGCCCTTATAACGACCCCTCAGGCTTTTCTTAGTAGCATTTTTTGCCAAAGGATAATGTATTTGATATGTTTCGCGTCTTTTTTTAAATCTTTAAATTTGTAATCAAAACGATCTGTGAACAAAATACATAATTAAAACCCAGTGCAAAGGTCAAAATCTGGAATTTCTTCAATCTTCGAACTTTCCAGCGTGTCAGGCACCTGATCACAACATGTAGTTGTGAATTTACTTTGATTATACGTTACAAAATCTCAGACTTTCCCTTTTAGACCAAAAATAGAGAAAGCTTCTTCCCAGATGGATGGAGAGGTGGATGAACTATATCTGTACATTTATTCCTTTACCCTCTACCACTTTTTGTTATTCCAAGCTGTTTTTTTCCCTGCAGTTCACATAATGTTCATATATATTTCGATAAAATGTTATAATGAAGATAAAAAGGTGAAGTTCACTCAAAGGTTGAAAATTAAATTTTTTTTTTCCAGCTCGACTACTACATTGCGGTACCTTGGATGGAATTTTTCACACTCATCGGGTTTACAGGCCCGATTTCCATTATAACAAGTTATATTCTTGAAGAAGATGATAAAGTCGACCCGAAAGTTGTTGCATATTTCATATTCGCCTTATGTTGCCCTCATATTGTATTATTCATCGACGCAATTTTATGCCTTCATCGGCTTTTCAGTTTTTTCCAAGTCGCTCCTTGGTTTTGTCGGAATTTCAAGTGGTAAGCTTATCTTTCTAGCAAATTGATGGAGCATCCTTCAGGCCACTGGCTTTTGCGATCCTGATATCTTTGCCCCAATCTTTTATCATTGTTAAAAATGTTCTTCAAACTATGAAACGGATATTGCCGACGCCAGATGCATATATTGCGCAACTGAGAACCTTATACTTGGTATAGTCAATTTTTCCCGAGTTTAAAGGCGAAGGGGGCGGGACGCGTAGCGTGTGCGTACGCGGTTCAATTCAAGCTCCCCTAGCTGTTTAAAAAGCTCGTTGGCCGCTTTTTTTGTGTATATCCTATCGTTTTTTGATGCAGAAATGAGAAAAAATCAATAAATAACCAAAAAAGAAATGAAAAAAGCGATAAACGAGCTCTCCAAACAATTACTGGCGGTTAAATTGAACTCGTGCCAAGAACCGCGTGCGCACACGCTACGCGTCCCGCCTTTCAAGTCGGGAAACATTGACTATAAGACGTTTTTTTTTTGATTAATTTTGAAGCTTGAAATTCTGCTGAAACATGCATGGGAAGATGGACCTTGAATCATCGCTGAAACCTTATTCTGAGCCTTTCTAATTTCACGAACTTCTCCTGACGTTTAGAACCACTTTAATTATTGTCAAAAGTACCTATCGAGATAGAAAACTTTCTTGATACCTCATCTTTCAAAATTACGGTAATCTCTCTCCTCATAGCCATTTAGTCCTGTAATTGCCCACCTGTGTTCTCAAAACCCTACCAAACCTTTGTTTTCCTTCAGAAACCTTTCAACCAACTACCCATTCAGCTCGCGCTCGTTATCAAAGTGTTCCTAATAATTTTCACCCTATTCGGATACCTTTTCCTACTGTGGAGCGTGAACCGACAGAAGTCGGCAATAAAGACTTCGGTGGCAAAAAAAGAAAGTCACCGGACAATTGTCCTTCAGGCTTTGCCCATCGCCACGTACTCCTTGGTCCGTTGTCTTGAAAAAACTTTGAATTCAAACAAAATAATTGCAGATTTATTTAGCCTACGACATTCTCATGAAAATTTTTGTTGATGAAGATGACCTCTTGGGGCAGGTGATGTCCCTCTTCTACCTTCTGTTCATTTTCTTGTCAGGTTGGATTAGAATAAAGCGTTATTAGCTATTTTAAAATACAAAAATTCAGGTTATGTTGTCCCCTTCTCATTCATCATTGGAAACCCGAAGAAGCGGAAAATCTTCACTTCATTTAATTTCAAAAAAATTGCTTCAAATCCAATAAAATTGGGAAGAAGAGAAATTCTAGAACTCTTGTAAATATAATTTAATAAACATGTTTAAGCAATGAAGTTGTGAAAAGTTTATAATTTGATAAATACTTCGAAAACTGCAAAAAAAAGCATGATGGACTCTCATATTTGGGCGAAGTCGGAATGGCGAACAATGGCCGCTAAAAGGCACAAAAAAGGAGCAAAAAGGGTCCCTTTATCGAGCCTTCCGTTTTTTTCTGTGATTTTGAAGGCTCAAGAATTGGCGGAAAAAGGGAGAGGCAGCAAAAATGGTGCATAGAAGCCGATGGAATGGCGCAAAAGGGCACCAATAAAGGAGCTTTTCTCCCCCTAAAAGGAACATTTTTATAGAGCCTTTTTCGACCCTTTCCGACTTTGCCTATGTAATCAAAAAAAAAGGCTAAAATCATGAAAATTCATTTTTACAGCAAATCTGCGGAAGGACTAAAACAATAAATCAAAAACCCCTTAAAAAATCGAAAAGTTCAGTCTGATCTTCGAAAATCATGCTTCTAGCTGTTCAAAAATAACAATACCACAAAAAAAAGATGATTTTCAAGGTTTCTCAATCTACGAACTTTTCAGATATTTGATAAAAATATGTAGTTGAGAGGTGGTTTTAATCATATGTTACAAGCCCTCAGACTCTCATTTTTAGAGTCAAATTCAGAGTCGAAAATGGAGAAACCTTCTTCATAGATGGAGGATTATTTGTATTTCGTTACCTTTTTCGTATTTTTAATACTTTCATCCCAAGCTGTCATTTTCCCTGCGGTTCATATCATTTTTATATATATTCTGATAAAATGTTATGAAGAAGATAAGAAGGTGAAGTTGATTTTGAGCTTGAAGCTTAAAGTTAATATAGCTTTTCAGCTCGAATATTACATTGCGGTGCCTTGGATGGAATTCCTTTCCTTTATCGGGTTCACAGGCCCAATTTGTATAATCAGCAGCTTTATGATTCAGCCAGATGACGATGTCGACCCAAAAGTTCTCGCCTATTTCACATTCTGTTTATGTTGTCCACATATGATCTTGTTTATCGACGCCGTTCTATGTCTACATCGTCTTTTCAGCTTTTTCCATGTCGCGCCATGGTTTTGTAGGAATTTCAAGTGGTGAGTCATTATTGAAAACCAAACTTTTTGAGATAAAATCAACCAGTTATATTCCAGGCCATTGGCTTTTGCGATCCTGATATCTCTGCCCCAATCTTTTATCATCGTTAAAAACGTGATCCAAACAATGAAACGAATATACCCAGAGCCAGATCAATACATTCCGCAACTGAGAAACGTGTACTTGGTAGGAAGTTTTTTGGAATACTGAAAAGTGAGGATTCTACTCGAAATCAAGTGAAACATTAAAGATAACTGCACAGTCCAGTGAGATAGAATAGCGATATCGCTGGCGGTACGAACACATTAAGTTTCGTTTTTCGCGCTGGTGTCGCGATTTTTCAAGGCGCGACATCGCATTTCTCTCGCGCTTCTCATACTTGAAAAAATACCTAGTCCGGCGCGATAGAAAAGCGATATCGCTGGCGGTACAAGCTTATAAACATGTTGCTCCTCGCGCGGGTTTCGCACCTTTTTAAGCGCGATATCGCATTTGTGTCGCGCTTTCCAGACTCAAAAATAAGACTCCTAGTCCGGCGCGATAGAAAAGCGATATCGCTGGCGGTACGAACTCATGAACGTGTACCTCTGTATTCGCACAAGTGTCGCGTTTTTTCTAGACGCGATATCGCATTTCTCTCGCGCTTCTCATACTTGAAAAGATACTAGTCCGGCGCGATAGAAAAGCGATATCGCTGGCGGTACGAGCTCATGAACGTGTACCTCTGTATTCGCACAAGTGTCGCGTTTTTTTCTAGACGCGATATCGCATTTCTCTCGCGCTTTCCATACCCAAAACAATACTCCTAGTCCGGCGCGATAGAAAAGCGATATCGCTGGCGGTACGAGATCATAAACATATTGCTTCTCGCGCGGGTCTTGCATTTTTCTAGGCGCGACATCGCATTTCTCTCGCGCTTCCCACCCTCAATTTATCTTTTTGAAATTATCCAAAGTGATCTAGCCGAGAAAGATGCAAGTCCGGAAATATTTTTTTATATTATTATAAAAATATTTTTTTCTTAGTAAATCTCTAATCAACCTTCTAAACCCCTCTCAACCAAGATATTTTTCAGTTGGCACTTATCATCAAACTTTTTCTCATAATCTTCACCTTGTCCGGTTACCTGTTAATACTGTGGAGCGTGAACCGGCAAAAGTCGGCGATGACAACTTCGGCGGCGAAAAAAGAAAGTCACAGGACGATCGTCCTTCAGGCTTTACCCATTGCGACGTACTCTTTGGTTGCAACTGAAAAAGTGACTTTTATAAAAAAATACTTGCAGATTTATCTAATTTATGACATCTTCATGATAATATTAGATCCTGACTACGATTTATTGGGGGAAATAACGTCATTCCTTTACCTCATATTCATACTTTTCTCAGGTTACAAATATCACACGCTTTTCTGACCTCTACAGGAAATTCCAGGTTATGTCGTCCCTTTCTCTTTTATTATTGGGAACCCAAAGAAGCGGAAAATCTTCACTTCGTTTACCTTTCGAGATTGCTTCAAGTCCAAGAAAATATCAGATAGAAAAATGCCAGAAAACTTTGTGACATCCGTTGAATAAACTTTTTTCATCCAAAAAGTCACAATTTTCCGATCTTTGAACCGTCCGTCTAGCGTTCCTCTTTCGAGAAAATAACATGTAATTGTGAACGGCTCCTAGTGACATCTGTCAATTTTTCAAAGCTCAAGTTTTAGAGTAGAATTCTCTGAAGATGAATTTCATTATCACTTTCTTCTTTTTCTATATTATTTCATTTCAAGTTTTACTTCTTCCTACAGTCCATGTTTTTTTCTGATCAAATGCTATGATGAAGATAAAAAGGTGGGACAAAACAATTTTTCTTGATTCAAAAGGTTTAAAATTGGACCGAAACTTTAAAAACCTTGATTTTCTTTGACCAGACGGCAATTTTGAGTTTATTAAAATTATTTTTTCGGCTGTTGTTTGAAAAAAATGATGAAGGTACTATAAATTGCAAAACGGCTCCGTTTAAAAAAAATTTAAATAATCAGAAACCCTCACTTCAACCTTGCAATGGTACTGTTTCTTCAAATTTCTAAGAAAAAGCTGCTATAGTCAATGTTTCCCGACTGAAAGGCGATGGAGGCGGGGTAAGGGGCGGGACGCGTAGCGTGTGCGTTCGCGGCTCTTGGCACGAGTTCAATTTAATTGTCCCCGAATATTTAAGAAGCTCGGCAACCGCTCTTTTTCAATGTTTTCTACTATTTTTTTGATGAACATATGAACATAATCAATAAATAATTTAAATAAAAAAATGAAAAGAGCGAAAAAAACCGGATTTTTCAAAGAGTCGATGGCGGTTGAATTGAACACGTGCCAAGGACCGCGAACGCACACGCTACGCGTTCCGTCCCTTGCCCCGCCTCCCTCGCCCTTTCAAGTCGGGAAACATTGACTATAATTAAAATTTAAAAAAATTTCGGTGAAACATACCGATTGGGATAATTCTCGAGAATCGTCTCCCACCTGGTTACAGTCCCCCACGACCGAACAAGCCCCACACCAAGGCAAAAGGGGCTGAACCAAATGGGGGGGGGGGGCTTTATCTTATTCTAGAATCTTCCCCCAACCAACTTTGGAATAAGCATTGAGACAGTCTTGTACGAATCAGCCTCCCACACTACAGAATCGCTACTAAATAGCGGTGCCTTGGATGGAATTTTTCACGCTGATCGGTACCACAGGCCCAGCTTTAGTGATCACAACTATTTTCATCGAGGACAATGATGAAAATTATATATTTTTCGGGTTATATCTACTAACAATGCTTTATTGTCCCCATATTATACTATTTATCGACGCTATTTTGTGCCTTCACCGACTTTTCAGCTTTTTCCAAGTCGCTCCATGGTTTTGCAAGAATTTCAAGTGGTGAATCACTTTTGAAAATCAGGAAAACTTTTTATTTATTTCAGGCCCTTGACTTTTGCAATAATATTATCGTTTCCACACTCTTTTTTTAATCATTATAAATGTGTTGCAAACGTTGGGACGACAGTTTCAGAAAACGGATAATTCTTTTTATTGAATCGAATATTTCTTACATGGTGAGAGCTCCGATATTAAAATTTTCTCTTTTGAAATCAAGTTGTTCATTTGACAAAAATTCACGAAATTTTTATTCAAAAAGGCATATTCAATTATATTCAAAAAAATACGTGGACTATGATTTAACGACCGCGCTTAGAAACTTTAGAATGGTTCCTATAGGGTTCAAGAGGGAAAACAGCCTAGGGGTAAATACAAGGTGATCCCTATGGGGATCGTTCAATTTTATTCAAAAACCCTTATTTATTTTTTTTCCATGAAAATGATCCTTCGCATGGAATTCAAAAAAGTTACTGACTAGCATGTCCCCCATAGGGACCACTTTTGCAAGCTTTAGTGGCCCCCATAGGGGTTGGGAGGTGGTCCCTAGAGGGTACTCTTTAAAAGCTCTTGAAATTGGCTCTATAGGGGCCACTCTAGAGTCCCTTCCTTGAAGTTCGCAAGTCGAAAAAAACAATATTGAATCAATAAATTTACAAGACATTTTAATTTTTCATTTCAAGATCGCCTTCTCTATCAAAGTGTTTCTAATAATTTTCACCCTATTCGGATACCTTTTGATACTCTGGAGCGTGAACCGGCAAAAGTCGGCGATGATGACGTCGGTCTCCAAAAAGGAAAATCACAAGACGATCGTCTTCCAAGCCCTGCCCATTTCCATCTTGTCCTCCGTGAGTTCCAAGCCTGAATATTCAATTTAAGACTCAGAACTGCAGCTTTTATTGATTGACGACATTTTGATGAAGTTTGTCACGGCCGATCTGTTCGGCAAACACAATTTATTTCTTTATTTCATTATCTCTGTTCTTTCAGGTTGATTGAAGGTCTTTTCTTGAAAAAAAGAGTTTTTCAGGTTATGTCGTACCATTTTCATTCATTATTGGGAACCCAAAGAAGCGGAAAATCTTCACTTCGTTCCATTTCAGGGATTGCTTCAAATCGAAGCAAATATGGAACAGAAGAGCTGCGAAAAATTCCCTAACATCAGATCAAGAAATTTAATTGATACATGAGTTATTTTCAACTTACTCAATCGACTGAAATAATCAAATTTGATGAAACAAGAAGACGATTACAGCAAAAAAAATCTAAAAATTCATTCAAATACCTAGATCAAATCAAACAGGTCTCAAGAAGATGATTACAGCAATCAATTTATTCAAACATAAAACAAATGTTTCTTTCTACGTTTCTCTGAATCGATCCAATTCTTATGGAAAAACGTTAAAAAAAATAAAGCTGATAAGAGCTAAAAAAATTTCAGCTAAGTTACAATTCTGGTGACTCACCGATTATAGTAGAAACTAAATACATAAAAATCAAAAATCTGAACAGGTGGTTTTTGACATGTGTTCATGACATTCGAGTACTTAAACAAAAGTCTAAACACTTTTTGAAAAACTCATGATTTTCTTTTGTCGAAATATTAGAAAAATGCCCTTTTTGGAAAACTTCAAAATACTTCTCCAGAACGTCCTTTTTGAAAGCGATCATCTTGAGACTCACCCTGAAAAATGTTCCTCAAACTAATTTACATATGATATAAATCCATTAAAAAAATAAATTTATAGAATGAAGTTAGATTTAGGTTAAAGTGATAAGTTTAAAATTGAGGAAGAATAAAAGTTGCTACAGCGATAATTTAAAAAAACAAAAAAATTATCATTTAAAAAAATTATGGTTTCTTGCACATGTATTACAAAAAAACACGCCACTAATTTCTGAAATTTTATTGCCAATTCCAACAAAACAAGTAAAATCTAATAATATAAAAAAATAATTTGGAAAGTACGAAAAAATTGTTAGTCGATTGTCGTAAAATTCGATGCTTGTTGTTTTTAACGTGTATGCGTACTCTATACCGTAATCTCCGAAAAAATTTGATGTATTCCGGTCGTTTCTAGTTTAATCTCAAAAATTCTTTCAGACTAGTTCAAAATCAGCCTATTTTTAGTTTTAAAGCAGGTGCAATTTTTTGCCGAAGCTTCAAAACTAAACTAGTTTCAAATTTAATCACATTTAGGAAGATGATCATTTTATAGAGCAGTTGAGCAAGGAAACAAGTACTGATTCAGTCGGTTTTTTGTCTATTTTTTTGCAGACTTGATCTTTCTCACGTTCTGGGTAGATGTTAATAACATGCAATTGAAGGGCACATTTGACGGAATTTCAGAAGTGTTCCGATTTGCAGAAGTGGACTCCAAAGGAACCTTTTTGAACAGATGGTCGAGTCAACTGTGGTTTTACTATTCTTTCTTCTCTATACCTTAATATCCCAAGTTTTACTTCTACCTATGGTCCAAGTGGTATTCATATTTATTTTGATAAAATTCTACCAGGAAGATAAAAAGGTGAGATGATGTTATTTGATTTTCTTTATGCTAAAACTGCAAAATGATTAGTTCATATTGTCTCTTGAATCATAGGCAAAGTCGGAAGGACCTTCCGAGGGTCCATAGAGGCTGCTGGAAGGCTCCATGAAAATGTTCATTTTAGGGTCGAGAAGGCTCCCTTTTTGCTGTTTTTTGCGCCTTTTCCAGCCCTTGTGCACTATTTTTGCTACCTCTGCGGCCTTTTTAGAGCCTCTGAAACCATTGTAGAACACTGTTTTGAAAAAAATCCTAAATTTCATTTTCCAACTGAAAAAGGAAGACTATCGGTTTTGATTTACCAAATGATCGTATTCGGAAAAATCTTGCATTTCCAAAAATATTTAGACATTCTTGATTCTTGGAAGTTTTTTTTAAATTGAGTGCGAAATTTTTTAGTGGCTACTTGGAGATGACACTAAAGTGACCACTAAACCCACCCCTAAAGTGGCCACTAAAATTTTTAGTGGTCTAGCAGTAGCACTTAGACCTCTACAGTGGCCACTAATTTTCACCCCTTAAGTGATCACTAATTTGAATACTATAGTGGCCACTAAAACGTCAAAACCCTATAGTGCCCACTAAAAATTTTCCCAGGACTTTAATATTTCTTCTAGCTCGACTACTACATTGCGGTCCCATGTATGGAGTTCGTTACCCTGCTGGGAGTGACAGGCCCATTTTTCGGGTATATCAATATTCGTCTACTCGAAATGAAAGAAGTATATGCTTCCCTATACGTCGGCAGTTATTTCATATTCACTTTGTCTTGTCCACATATTCTAGTCTACCTGGACGCTGTTTTATGTCTTCATCGTCTCTTCAGCTTCTTCCAAATCGCTGCATGGTTTCGAAAATATTTTGGATGGTGAGATTTTTTTTTATTGGGAAATGCAATCAATAATTAAGTTTATCTAACTTCAACCGCTATATCTAGCATCGTTGAAACGTATCTTCCATTGGTTCTTCGGGGGAGTTCATTCCACGAATAAGAAATGCGCACGCGAACGATAAAAATGGGGGAAAATATCCAAATTTCTATAGGTTTTTTTTTTGAAAAGTAGTCTTCAAAATGAAATTTTGGTTGATTTTTCATCTATATGCCGCTCGCAAAGGCAAAAACGCTCCGCGACGCAGCGGAACAGCGGAATGTCGTTCGGTGAAAATCCAAGTCAGGCTGTATCTCAAAAAACAGAAAAAAAATTTTTCTTTGTACTACGATTATGAGCAAAATTCCAGGATAATGATTTTTACAATCATTTTATCGACTCCACAATCACTTATAATCGTTAATTACGTGCTTCAAACTGCAAAATCGACACCCCTGCCGTCAGATTCATTTTTCGCTCGGCTGAAGATTCCATACATGGTTAGACATTCTGTTTATTCAGAAACTAGATCAAAAAAAATTTAATTTTTTTGGTTCTCTGCTAAAGATCGGTCGATCGAAATCGCGTGATTTTTGAAAATAGAATTAAAGAAAAGGTTTCAGTTCACGCTCCTTGTCAAAGTATTGTTAGTGATTTTCACCCTATCCGGCTACCTTTTGATACTCTGGCGCGTGAACCGGGAAAAGTCGGCGATGACAACCTCGGTTGCAAAAAGAGAAAGCCACAAGACCATAATCCTACAGGCATTACCGATTTCCATTTATTCTTTTGTGAGTTCCAAGCCCAAAATATTCGAAAAAGTCAAAGTTGTAGCTGCTGATTATCTACGACATAATCTTGCTATTCACTCCCATCCGTGTTTTTTCAGAACAATTCAGTCTCTTCTTTTATATTTCAAACTCTGTTTTGTCAGGTTGGAATCACTTGAAGCTCTAAATTCCATGAAAAAGAGTTTCAGGTTATGTCGTACCTTTCTCATTTATTATTGGGAACCCGAAGAAGCGGAAATTGTTCACTTCGTTCCAGTTCAGGGATTGGTTCAAATTGAAAAAATCGAGGAAGAGAAAAATTGTGAAAACTACCCTTACAACAATTGAATAAACTGCTTTCAGTTCTTCATTTAATTTCATATCATTAAGATTTTGATAAGGAAAAATGCAAATGATTTCCTTGGTCTCTCAGAATTTCTGAAAATGCATTTTTAAATTTCTTAACAGTTTAAAGACTCTTCGGGTCCTAGAAAACAACAAGCTTTCCAATTCCAAACATTCAAGTATTTTTGAAAATCTCAGAGTGTTCCCTATAGGGTTTAGGGTCTGACCTTTCAGTTCCTAAAGAGCAAATTTTCCCTATAGGGGCGTCTTTTTTCGAGTTTCACGCACTTCTTCTTATTACTTAAAAACTTTAAAGTGGTCCCTAAAGGGGTTAGAGGAAAAAACAACTCTGTAGGAACCGAGAAAGAGGTCCCTTTAGGGTAAAATTAAGTTTTCGAACTCCAAACATTTAGGCAATTTTAAAAATCTCACAGTGCTCACTATAGGGTTTTAAGGTCTGATCCCAAGTCCCTAAAGAGCAAGTTACCCCTATAGGGGTCGTCTTTTTTAGTTTCTCGCATGAAAACGCTTCTTCTCATTACTTAAGAATTTTAAAGTGGTCCCTAAAGGGGTTAGAGAAAAAACAACTCTATAGGGACCGAGAAAAAGGTCTCTTTAGGGGTAAAGTTAAGTTCGTCCCTATAGGGGTTTAGGGTCTGACCCATCAGCCCCTAAAGCTGAATTGCTCCCCATGGGGTTTAGGGTCTGACCTCTTAGTCCCTAAAGAGCAAGTTCTCCCTTTAGGGGTCGTCTTTTTTGACTTTTTCGCATGGAAACGCTTCTTCGCTTAAAGTTCATAACAATTATCGACTGGATTGTCCCCTATAAGTTTTCCAAGCTTTAGTGGCCCCTATAGGGACCCTTCAAGGGCTTCTAAGGTTGCCCCTATAGAAACCACTCTGGAATTCCCCACTTATATCTTTGTAACTTGAACCTTCTAGCATTCCGGGTACGCGATAATAACATGTAATTTTTCGAAATTACATAGTTTGTCAAATGTTCCGATTTGCTAAACAAAACTCACAGTGGCTAGAAAAATCTCCCGACATATGGTATGGTCGACTTAAGAATCGCTCTACTTTGCCTCTTCGGATACGTTTTTTCCTGTGCAGTCTTACTTCTGCCAACGGTTCATGGGATCTTCTTATTCATTCTGGTCAAATGCTATCGTGAAGATAAGAAGGTGGACCTTTTAGTTTAACTTTAGTTACAATTACTATTTGTGCTTTTTATAGTCGATGTGCCACGACTTGAAATTTCATGAAACGACACTCCGATGTTCTTGCGGTTCTAGTGCGCGCTGTCGCGAAGCGCCTTGCCTTTGCGAATTTCGGTCGCGCTTTCCATTTTTCTTTTATTTGTTATTTTTATTTTTTTTGAACAATTTTTTAATTGTTTTTTCGTGCCAAAAACAGAACTATCATTGCTTTTGCATAGACTGTTGCACTGGGAACACCAGAAAGTCAATTACTTTTCGAATTATCAACACAAATTGTATTTTTAATATTGAAACGCATTTTTCCCTTAAAATTCGAAAAGTACTCAACTTTCTGTGTTTCTACTGAAACAGTCTATCCACTAGCAATAATAATCATGAGTTTGGCACGAAGAAAACTATTGAAACATAAATAAAATAGGGAAATTTTCAAATGAAAGAAAAAATGGAAAGCGCGACCGAAATTCGCAAAGGCAAGGCGCTTTCGCGACCACAAGGACACCAAGCGGAGTGTCGTTTCATGAAATTTTAAGTCGTGGCACATCGACTATACAGTGAAATTAGAATTTTTCTCCACAACTTGGAATTTTTTCCAGCCGTTTTGAGGTGTTAGAATAAGTTTGTAAGAAAAGACTTTTAAGTATAGTTGAAAAAAAGTTATAAAAAGGCTGTGAAATTTCCACAGAGTGCACAAATTCAAAATGACAGATAAGTGTGAATAGGAAAGGGAAAGGGTAGAAAAAGGCTCCAAAAATGTTCCTTTTAAGGGAAGAAAGGCTCCTTTTTTCTTGCCTTTTTGCGGCATTTTATCGGCTTTAATGCACCATTTTTGCTGCCTCTCCCATTTTCCATCATTTCTTGAGCCTTGGAAACCCCAGAAAAAAAGGAAGGCTCGATGAATGGACCCTTTTTTCTGCCTTTTTGCACCCTTTTTCCTGCCTTTCTGCGCAATTTTGCTGCCTTACTGAAGCCTTTTTTGAGCCACTCTCTTTTAGAGATCATATCTTTGCCCTAGGCTTTTGCTCCTAAATGAACGAATTCTCTTTCAATGTATCGACCATTCTTTTTCCAGCTCGGCTACTACATTGCGGTTCCTTGTATGGAGTTTTTCACGCTCATCGGTCTTACAGGACCCATTTTCGGATATATCAATTATCGTCTCCTAGAAATTAATGAAATCAATGCTTCTCATTACGTCGGCGGTTATTTTCTCTTCACTTTGTCTTGTCCCAATATTTTGGTGTACATCGACGCAATTCTATGCCTTCATCGTCTTCTCAGCTTTTTTCAAATCGCACCGTGGTTTCGTCAAAAATTCAAGTTGTGAGTTGAAATTGATATTGCATCCGTATGACTGACTTGCTTGCACTAAAAATGGTTCACTGTTTTTTGGAAACCTATACCAAGGCGTGAAAAACCGGGTCAAACGCCTTCCAAACTTCATTGAAAACTTCAAAACCGATTCAGAAGCTATTAATTTCAGGATAATGGCTATCACAATCCTAATATCTATCCCACCATCTCTCATAATTGTTTTTTATGTTCTTCAATCATCAACTTCCATAACTGCCAACGCAGATCCAACTTTCGCGCGCCTAAAAATTCCATACATGGTGAGAGAAATTTCGGTCCTTACAGGGTCCATTTTGAATATAAGATTGTTGAAACTGCACAGGCGAATCGAGAAGGTACCATTAAAAATGGATCCTGAAGATCCCATAATGTGTCCATCTTGAGATCTCCGGCATACCTTTTAGCTGAATCTGAGCCATCTCGGAGGTATTTTAGAGTCTCTCTCAAGTCCCTCTCGCTCAAAATCTTCAGATGTATCCTCGAGGTACCATCGTGAGACTTCAGAGCCTGCAATGTACCTCAGAAGGTCTCGCGATACCCTCTCTCGATTCGCCTATAGTCTGTTCAGGTTTTGAATGTCAAGTCGTCGCTCAAGCTCCGCCCCTAATGGTGCGATAAACTAATTACAGAGCGAGCCATCCATGGAGTGTTTTGAATGACGTCACTGCACTTGACATAAAAAATCTGAACAGACCATATGTCATGATCCAATCACGGCAAAAAACTGTCTTTTCAGCTCGCGACCTTTATAAAAGTATCCCTGGTGATCTTCACTTTATCCGGCTACCTTTTGATACTCTGGCGCGTGAACCGGGAAAAGTCGGCGATGACCACTTCGGCGCCAAAAAAACGAAGCCATAACACAATTATCCTCCAGGCGTTGCCCATCTCCATCTTCTCTTTTGTGAGTTCTCATGCTAGACTCCCGAAAAAAAAACTCATCCACAGATCTCAATATCTTACGACATACTTTTGCTATTTTTCACTGTCCATGATTATTTGGAGCAAGTGATGAAGTTCTCTTACCTTATGATTTCGGTTTTCTCAGGTAGGACCACACCTTAAATTTTAATTATCTGAAGGAAGAAGTTCCAGGTTATGTCGTACCTTTCTCATTCATTATTGGGAACCCGAGGAAGCGGAAAATCTTCACTTCGTTCACCTTCAGGGATTGCTTCAAGTCCAGAAAACCGAGGGAGAGAAAAATTGCCCAAATTACCCTTACAAATGTTGAATAAAATGTTTCGAACGTTGTTTTTTCATCAGCCTCCAAGTTCTTAAAAATATCTTTCATTCAATTTCCTCATCATTTATGTTTTTATGTCTCATTGTATACCTTAAACTTACAATGAGGATGATTTACAAGCTCAAAAGTTGAAGACTTTTAGAATATCAAAAACATTATAATTTAGAAAATCATGACTCAAAGCTTTTTCCGTACAATTTTTTGCCTAATCTCCAACCTTTTCGAACGTTCCAGACACACGAAGATAACATGTAATTATAAGTTCAATTAAATGTTAGCGACTTTCTCAGCAAGACTAGAATTCTGAAGAAGACTTTAAAAATGGATTCAAGTTCGATTTTCCTATCATTTTTCTTCGTGTACAGTGCTACATGTCCCGCTTTACTTCTGCCTACGGTCCATGCGATTTTTATATTTATTTTGATTAAATGTTATGATGATGATAAGGAGGTGAGACTGGAGAACTTCTAGCCCTAACTGGGAAAGTTTCAAGTGGCCTCTTAAGGGTTTTAACGGTTAAGTGGCCAGTAAAGGCACTAAGTGGTGTTACGCGACCCTGTAAAGTTACTATTATATAATGGCAGTGAGGGAAAAAATAATGGCTTCCATGAAAGTGACGTTAGTGGCCGCCTTAGTGTCCCCTCCAAGTAGTCCTTGAGGACCCTCTTAAGTGACCACTAAAATTTTAACCAGGAATAACTTTCCGGTGTTGCTGGCCCCATTTTCGGCTATTGGAGTTCAATTCTAGAACAAGAGGAAATCGGAGTCTACGTTGCTATTTGTTTTCTATTCGCCATGTCCTCTCCACATATTCTAATCTACCTGGACGCTGTTTTATGTCTTCACCGTCTTTTCAGCTTTTTCGGAATATCTCGATGGTTTTGTAGAAACTTCAAATGGTATTCTAATTAAAAATTATCGTTAAGGTCATTAATTTCAGGATAATGATCATCACGATCATAATATCCACCCCACAATCTCTAATCATAGTAATTTATGTGCTTCAAACAGCGGAATCCATAACTCCAAACCCAGACGAATTTTTCGCGCACCTGAAAACGACTTACAAGGTGAGAAGGTTTTCTATTGAAATGCAAAACTAAGCAGAGACATTTCCAAGGGATGAATAAGAATTTGGCAAAGTTACAAGGTCGAAAAGTATGTATTCATGTGGGAGGAAAAGTTGCGGTGCATCCCACAGTGGAACCAGGGGTGCACCCCGTTCATCTTTAAATGCCTATTAAGGTTCTAAATCTCTACACAATTTCGAAGTGGTTTTTTTTCCCAATACCACCATTTTCTACAGTTTCATCCTCGGTTGTTACTCTAACAAAAAATGGCGATGTACCCCGCAGTGAACCCCGAAAAAGTGAACTTTTGGTTGATGCTTGCGCTGCACCCCGCGTTGGACCTGAATGGGGTGAACCCCTGGGGCACCCAGTCGAAATAAAGATTTTTTTTTGAGCTACTGTAACAGCTTAGGACGAATCTGTAGACAATGATGATATTGGTAAACGGGCCATTTCGAAATCGTGTACGGAAATATTACCTTAACAGGCATTTAGAGCTAAACGGGGTGCACCCCTGGTTACACCGCGGGGTGAAACGAGAGTTCGACGCGACGTGCACCGCAACTTTTGTTAGAGCCATTAACACCATTTTCTACAGTTTCCTCATAGGCTGTTACGGTAGCTCAAAGTAACTTTTAATTTCCGACCGGTAACCCCAGGGGTGCGCGCCATCCAGGTCCAACGCGGGGTGCACCGAAAACATCACGGTTCACTTTTTCGGGGTTCACATTCATTTTTGTTAAAGATTTCCTAGCTTGTCAAATTCACTCTAACTTATAAAACAAGAGAGACATTTTACAGTACGCCACCGTTATCAAAATATTCTTGGTAATTTTCACCTTATCTGGCTACATCCTGATACTGTGGAGCGTGAACCGGCAAAAGTCGGCGATGACGGCTTCGGCGACAAAGAAAGAAAGTCACAAGAACATTGTCCTACAAGCGCTGCCAATATCCATCTATTCTTTTGTGAGTTTCAAGATCAATTTCAAATCGAAGCTTAATTTACAGATTTTGATGCTTTATGACATAATCTTACTGTTGACTACCGTCGACTTTTCCGGAGGACTCATGAGATTTTCTTACATTATCCTGTCCGTTTTGTCAGGTTGAAAAAATTGACTTGAAGACCTGAATTTCCATAAAAAGAAGTTTCAGGTTATGTCGTGCCTTTTTCATTCATTATTGGGAACCCGAGGAAACGGAAAATCTTCACTTCATTTAGCTTCAGGGATTGCTTCAAATCGAATAAAGTTTGGGCGAAAAGATCCACCGAAACTCCTGATTTCACTAAAAGTTGAATAAAGTATGATTTTCTCACCAGGGAATGGTCTAGGACCGCAGTGGACTTCTGAATGAGACCAATTTTACTAGATATTGTTTTTCACGCTGATTCCAAATCTGCTTTCAAAAGTTGCCCAATACGTCTGTGAAAGAAGTTATGGACGATCAAAAGTCGAAAATTTCAGTGTGGTTAGAGTGTGAGATATGAAAAAAATTTCAGGTCCACTTTTCAGGAATACAGAAGTTCGAACTCATTTTTTAAAAGCTCCTTTTTCCTACTTTTGCTCTCTGATTTCTTGGAAAGGCACTGAAAAACTATTTCCATTTTCTACAAGCCCTAATCTCACGCGCAAGACTCTCCTTAACACATAAGCCTATTATTACGCAAAAATCAAGATTCAAAGATTCGAGAAGCTTTTTTTTGACAAATTTCGACTTTCTCGTACTCCAGATACAATGCTAACATGTAATTGCTGAACTCACTTAATGATATGTTAGAAAGTTTCCGAACAAAACTTCAAGCCAACAGAAATACTCCAATAGAATATGGTTGCAGCTGAAACTGTCCTTTACATCGTTTTCATTCTCATGGTTTTAAGTCCAGTTATACTACTTCCCGCGGTTCATGCGGTCTTCATATTCATTTTGATCAAGTGCTATGATGAAGATAAAAAGGTGGGACTGACAAGAAAGGCAATTTTACTCCGTGATTTGAAATATCCGAAAAAAAAATCCGACAGAAGAAGATACTGAAGAAATCAATCTGTTTTTCCATGTAATTTATGTAAACTTTCAAAATATTGATTCCCATCTCTCCAAATCGCCTGGAAACTTTTTTTCCCGAGTAAGTTTATGTCTCAATCTGCACAACTTCCTGTTTTTTTCGAGAAAACAACAACTTAAAGTCAAGAAAAACCATTAAGATCGATTAAAATAAGTTTTTTGAGGTGGGGGGGGGCTCCCACACCAATATCAATTGAAGCCTATTTTTCCAAAAATTTTAGAAATCGTGCAGATTAGGGCTATCAAAATCTTCTCTCGGAAAAGCTTCAAGAGACTTTCTGGCCGATTGAAAAAACCCTAACCACAACGTAAAATAACTTTCCTCGTGAGGCTCAAGTTAAATAATATTTGGGAAGTTTCACAATTTCCTAATAGTCAAGCAAAACTATAAACAAGATTTCATTCATCTGAGTTTTTCTCTCTTCTTTCCATGAAATGATCGTAAATGATCAAAAATGAAAAATTAGAACTTTTTCAGCTCGACTATTATATCGCTGTACCTTGTATGGAACTGGTCACATTTATCGGTGTGACAGGCCCGTTTTTCGGATTTCTGAGTAATAGACTACAAGAAGACATTCAAGGCAAAATCGGAATATATTTCGGCATTTATTTCCTATTCACCATGTCCTGCCCGAATATTCTTGTGTATTTGGACGCTGTTTTATGTCTTCACCGTCTTTTCAGCTTTTTCGGGATAGCTTCATGGTTTTGTGAACATTTCAAGTGGTGAGTTAAAATTGTTTTTCAGATTTTAAGGCTGCCGTTGGAGGTATTTAAAAAGTGCTAGCATCTCTCTCACAAGATTCTGAGATTTTAAGTGAAGCTAAAGTATCGAATTTCAGGATAATGGTTATTACAATCATATTATCTATCCCACAATCTATTATCACTGTTTATTATTATCTGCAAGCATCGGAACCGCAAACTATTCCACCAGGCTCAATTTTAGCGCATCTAGAATCACTATTTCTGGTGAGACATTTTGCTTTTCAGGACAGAAATTATAGACTACTGTCATGATTTTTTAAAGTTCAAAAAGTTACCAAACTCTATAGTCCGTCCGGCACGACTTGACAGTTTTCAAGTGTCTGCGTCTCTCTGTTCCCTTACCGGCGAGGTCAGAGAAACATGGAAACAGCACGTAACATGAGAGGGACGTCGAGAGATAAGGAGGGCGCAGAGAAGCCCCTTCCAAGTCACGAAAAAGGACTATACAGTTACGCACAGAGTCTCAATTTCGATGGTATTGTCACAAAAAAGGAAGTTTCCCTTTTCAGTTCGCCAGCATCATCAAGATCATCTTAGTGATTTTCACCCTATCCGGCTATATTTTGATACTCTGGCGCGTAAACCGGGAAAAGTCGGCGATGACCACCTCGATTGCAAAAAGAGAAAGCCACAAGACCATAATCCTACAAGCTTTACCGATTTCCATTTATTCTTTTGTGAGTTCCAAGTTCGATACCGGGATGGTGTTTTTTAAATTCCAGGTACTGATTATCTACGATATAATATTACTCTTTGCTCTTCTTGACTTCATGGATGATCTGGTGAGATTTTTTCACGTCATGATCGCTGTTCTATCAGGTTGGAGTCAATTAAATTTTTAATTAAAAGGCTTTTTCAGGTAATGTTGTCCCATTCTCATTCATTATTGGAAACCCGAAAAAGAGGAAAATCTTCACTTCATTTAACTTCAAGGAGTGCTTCAAGTCGATCAAAATTCGATATAAGAGAAATTCTCAAACTCCAGTGAATGTAATTCAATGAAAGTTTCGAAGAATGGTGTTTTTGTTATTTCACATCATTAAAAATAAAGCTACGGCAAAAAAAAATGCTATGAGCGAATAAAGATATTTCATGGAAAAGCTCTTCAAAGTAATTTAATTGCATATCGCTCTTGATGATATGTTAGCCTCTCCCAGACTTTCGGAACAAATTTTCTAAGAGAACAGGAACCTTTCGTAACCAAAATGGAGGTGAATTTTCTTGGCTACCTCACGCTTTACATTATCCTAATCCATGTGATTTTTCTCCCAACGGTTCATGCGACCTTCATATTCATTCTGATAAAATGCTACGATGAAGATAAAAAGGTTGGATGGGAAATTTAAGTTGAACTCCTGTAGACTTCAAACTAAGCCTCTAAATAATTAAAATAGTAGTTTACAGCTCGATTACTACATCGCCGTCCCATGGATGGAAATCTTCACATTTATCGCTATTACCTCCCCGCTTGCCATAGTACTGCAATCTTATTTTTCCGAAGGTCAGGGGGCTTACATTTTCATAGGCGCCTATTGCACGTTCACATTTTGTTGTCCTCATATTTTACTATTCATCGACGCTATTTTATGTCTACACCGTCTTTTCAGCTTCTTCCAAGTAGCTCCATGGTTTTGCAGAAACTTTAAGTGGTATGTTCATTAGGCGGTCCTGTAAAAATCCTGCTGATGATCTCAGAATGACTATCTAAAAATGTGTTAAAGTTGCGTACAAAACAGCTTTTAGGGTCATGATTTTACTTTGCGGTTTAGAATTTTCCACAAGTTTGCTCAAAGACTGAAGGTCTAGATGAAGATTCATCATAGTCGCTATAGTCAATGTTTCCCGACTTGAAAGGCGAGGGAGGCGGGGCAGGGGGCGGGACGCGTAGCGTGTGCGTTCGCGGTTCTTGGCACGAGTTCAATTTAACCGCCAGCGAGCATTTAGAGAGCTTATTTATCGCTCTTTTTCACTTTTTTTAAAATTATTTATTGATTATGTTCAGGCATGCATCAAAGAATAGTAGAAAAAACAAAAAAAAAGCGGTTGCCCAGCTTTTTGAATAGTCGGCGGCGATTGAATTGAACTGGCGTCAAGAACCGCGAACGCACACGCTACGCGTCCCGCCCCTTGCCCCGCCTCCCTCGCCTTTCAAGTCGGGAAACATTGACTATAGAAGGTGGATCAGGTACTGACTATGAGGGATCTTCTTCTGAACCTTCGGAGAGTCTTTGGGAAAATTTTTAGAGACTTCTGAACCGTAAACTAAAATGACTTCCCTTGTCCGCCCGTACAAATCCTCCATTAAGTCATGTAACTTCAAAATGAAACTATAAAAAACCTTTTTCAGGCCATTGGCTATCGCGATTATAGTATCCATCCCACTATCTTTCATACTCGTTGCTTATGTCTTAAATACATCAAAAGCAAAAGAAGACAACTCAGATGGATATAAATCGTACCTAGGAGCGGCATATGTGGTACAGTCTGTTCAGATTTTGAATGTCAAGCTGCAAACTCCGCCCCCAACAACGCTCTGTATATACTCACTCTATATATGCTCGTTCTCTGATTGGTTTAATCTACGAGTAAGGGGCGGAGTTTGACCGATGACTTGACACTCAAAATCTGAACAGTCTAATTTAAGAAAACTCAAATTCTAACAACTCTAACGAAAAAATCTCCTTTCAGCTCGCGGTGATTATCAAAATCATACTAACGATTTTCACACTGTTCGGCTATACTCTGATACTTTGGAGCGTAAACCGGCAAAAGTCGGCGATGACAACGTCAGCATCGAAAAACGGAAAACATGAGACAATCGTCCTGCAGGCTTTGCCCATCGCCGTGTACTCTTTGGTAATTTCAAGTTCAAAATTCGGAATAATGCAGTACCTTGTAGCTTTTCCTACTTTTCGACCTTTTCATCAAAATCTTCACTGTGAACAATGTGATAGGAGAGCTGATGTCTGCATTTTATATGTTCTTCCTCTTTCTTTCAGGTTGGAAACTGAAGCTCCACTAATTAAAAAAATTGAGGTTACGTCGTACCTTTCTCATTTATTATTGGGAACCCGAAAAAACGAAAAATCTTCACTTCGTTCACTTTCCGGGGTTGCTTCAAATCCAATAAGATTTGGGATAAAATAACTTCGAAGGCTTCCACACAAACTGTTGAATAAACTTTTTTAACCTCTGATATCAGTGAGAATGGGAATTGAAAGAAAAGTATTTTTCTGCAAACGCAATTACAAGATTGTAACATGTATTTTGAACTATCCTTTGATTACACGTTGAAAATGCTCTCAAACGCTCAAAACTTCCATCGAAAAGGAAGCATTCCGAACGGATGGCTCTACTAGACTCCCTCTTGGTCAATTTCATAGTGTTTCAAGTTTTTTTCCTCCCTGCAGTTCATGTCATCTTCATATTCATTCTGATGAAATGCTTCAAGGAGGACAAAAAAGTAGGTTTTAACAAGTCGCTTTTTCTTCAAGCTTAGGACTTTCAAAGACCTTTTTCAGCTCGACTATTACATTGCGGTACCTTGTATGGAAATCGCGACATTACTCGGTGTCTCCGGCCCATTCGTGGTATTACTGAGCGATACGGTCAAACGAAATACGGAGCCTGATCCTCTCGCCATCACTTATTTTCAATTCACCCTGTGTTGCCCACATATTCTAGTTGTTATAGACGCTGTTTTGTGTCTTCATCGTCTTTGCAGCTTTTTCCAGATCGCCCCATGGTTTTGTAAACACTTCAAATGGTAAATTTCGTCTCCCCTTAAGTTTCTGGAAAAATTTTTAGTGGGCTCTATAGTAATCAAATGAGTGGCCACTCAAGAGTTTAAAAATTAATGGCCACTATAGAGGTCCAAGTGCTACTACTAGACCACAAAAAATTTTAGTGGCCACTTTAGGGGTCAATGGATCAACATAACTGGTCCAATCTGTTTTTTTTTAAATATCAGAGTTACTGAGAGAAATACTGGATGAAAAACTACTGAAGTGGCCACTAAATAGAGAACCTTTATAGTGGCCACTATAGAGGTGGGTTTAGCGGCCACTTCAGTGTCCTCTCCAAGTAGTCCTTGGCGAGCCTCTATAGTGAGCACTAGAAATTTTCCTCGTTGAGCTAAAATCAACCTGAGGCAACATTATTACTTTTAAATTGAGGACTTCGTGTCGCGGCATGGAAGTCTTCAATTTAAGGTTAACCTAAAAAAAAAATCACAGGAACCTAAAAATGCTTCAAATCAGCTTAATTTTGAGTTACTTCCATAAATGGGCAATTATAGAGCTTAGTCAGGCCAGGAGGAGAGGTTGCCTTACAAAATTTTTTGAAAAAGTTATTTTCAACCTCCAGGAGGTGTTTCCGGCCACAATGATACAACTTTCAACCTCGTGAAGATAGTATTATTTTTCATTAAGGTAAACTTGGATGAGGGGCGGGGGGGGCGGTCGGCGACTTTCAAAAATGGTCTGCCCTATCGGACATTGGTAACGCGACATGAACGCGAATCGAACGTTCCGGAGCATTTCTAGTGACCACTTTAGTAGCGTCAGCACTCTTAAGTGATCCCTAGAATTGCACAGAAACGCGTTACCAATGTCCGAGAATGTATGTCCATTCCCCATGCAACTATTAAATTCAAAAATGTCATATTTCAGGCCATTGGCTGGTGTAATTATAATATCAGTTCCTTACTCTTATATTATTGTATACTATGTACTTAAATTATGGGACCGGCTGATACTAACTTATTATGTCACAGCAGAAACTCAATACACGGTGAGGAAAAGTTCAAACCTTCTATTAAAAAAATGAATCCGATTCTACTTTCTCTATAGTTCAATGAAAAAAGCTCTTCGAGAACCAAGAAAATCCGAAAAACTCTGACGTTCAGTTCGCTATCACCATCAAAATATTCTTGCTAATTTTTACCTTGTCCGGCTACATTCTGATTCTCCTGAGCGTGAACCGGGAAAAGTCGGCGATGACAACCTCGGCCTCGAAAAAAGAGAGTCACAAGACGATCGTCCTTCAGGCCTTGCCCATCGCCATATTTTCTTTCGTGAGTTTTCCATCTGAAAAATCGAAATAAATATAAAATATTCAGATCTTCTTTTTCTATGAACGTCTGGTCAGTCTCTCTACTTTCAATGAAATCTCCAAAGTGATAATATTTATCTCTCACAGCGCCGCCTTTTTTCTGTCCGGTTTGGAAACACGCAATTTTTTTTCAGAACGAATATTTCAGGTTATGTCGTACCCTTCTCATTCATTATTGGGAACCCGAAGAAGCGGAGAATTTTCACTTCGTTCAGTTTCCGGGATTGCTTCCGATCTAACAAAATACGTAACTCAGCAACTGTACAGGCTTCATGATTATTACTGAATAAAGTTTTTTATTGAATTTTTGCAAAAAAGAAAGGAATTGATATATTAGGATTTTATGTTTCATACTTTCCTATTACGATTTTCTACCGCATCTCCAGTGACTTGACAGCTTTCGCGTGTCTGCGTCTCTCTGTTCCCCCACCGGCGAGGTCAGAGAAACATGGAAACAGCATGTAAACATAAGAGACGTCGAGAGACTAGGAGGGCGCAGAGAAGTCCCAGAATTTACTTCCATGGAATTATTCTCTGACCTTTCCGATTTTCAAAAAAAGAACTTAATGATATGTTGAACAGAATAATATGTCTACAGCTCTCAGACATTTAAACTTTCCCAGCATATGGATTCTTTCTTGTCTCTTTATTTCCTCATTTATATTTTCCTAACTCAAGCTCTTCTCTTTCCCACAGTTCATGCTATCTTTATATTTATTCTGATAAAGTGTTATGATGAAGATAAAAAGGTAATATGTTTCCCATTTATTTTCTTTGTTCAAAATCGCAATTTCCATAGAGCTTATAGTCTGTGTGCCACGGCTTGAAATTTCACCGAACGACATTCCGCTGTTCAGCTGCGTGTGTGCGCGAAGCGTCTTTCAAATCTAGGTCACGCTTTCAATTGATTGTTATTGCTGTGGTAGCACATGAAAGTAGAGTACCTTGATGAAATGAAAAAAAAATCGCGACCAAGGTTCGCAAAGGCGTGCAGCGGCACGGAATGTCGTTCCGTGAAATTTCAAGTCTTGGCACACAAACTATACAAGGGTTCCCTAACCTGCAAAAATGAAGAATGATATTTAATTTTTCAGCTCGACTACTATATTGCAGTCCCTTGGATGGAATTTTTCACGATAAGCGGTGTCACCGGTCCGATTTTGGTGATGCTACAATATTTCACTCCGGATGATTACGAAGCTAATGTTTTCTTTGGCTTTTATTTCATTTTCGCGTTATGTTGTCCCCACATTCTGATATTTTTGGACGCTGTTCTATGCCTCCATCGTCTTTTCAGCTTTTTTCAAGTCGCGCCGTGGTTTTGTAAGAGTTTTAAATGGTGAGTTTTGAATGATCTTGAAGTATTTCTGACAACGCGTAAGCCGTTTCATGGTCGGCTGCTAGCTCATAAAGCTTTCCCAAAATATTCTACAGAAAAAAGACACTCTATTCAAAAAGGATAGGACCCCCCCCGTCGATTTTGGACTTTCTGGCGAAATACGGAAAGATATCAAACATCTGTAAGTGCCATTCGATTCAGAGCCAAACTTTCATTATCCTAGCTCTTTTCCCACTAGAATGCCGTCTAAAAAACCGTAGAAAACTTGGAAACAGATGATATGAGAACAAAAAAACCACTCATGAAAAAAAAAAAATGAAAGTCAAAATTTCCAGATGGTCCTATCCTTATTGAACGATCCAAAAACCGTTTTTCGATGGCATTCTTGTGGGGAAAGAGCTAGGATAATGAAAGTTTGGCTCTGAGGGTTATTTTGTACTCTGAATCGAATGGCACTAACAGATTTTTGATGTTTTTCCGTATTTTGCCAGATAGTCCAAAAACGGAGAAGGTCCCATCCTTATTGAACCGTGTGTATGAAGATGACTTAATTTTGGGCTTACAGTAAACTTCTCGTTATGTAATATTCTTTATGTGGCCCTAAGCTTGAAAATTTCCAAAAATTGAACAAATTTCAGGCCATTAACATTTGCAATTATAATATCCATTCCCCAATCTTTCATTATCACCTTCTATGTGCTCCAAACGTCGAAACCAATAGTTTCGAACCCAGATCAACTTATTACTCACCTAGAGATTCCATACATGGCAAGTTATTATTTTTTCGGGTTCATTTTCTCGGACTTTCATCTCAGTTTCTCTTTGACAGTCTTTTCATTGATTACTTAGGGAACAGATTCCTACCAATAGTCTCTACCAGTCACATGCTCTTTTCTCTACTCTCTAAAATCTTGGAATGTTGAAACATTTTTCAGCCACGAATCAGTAGGACAAGCTTTTCTAGATGTAGTTTTTCACGCTAATTTCAAAACTGATCTCGAAAGTTGCCCAATACGTCTGTGAAAAAAGTTATGGACCCTCAAAAGTCCGAAATTTCAGTGTCTCCAAATGAGCTTATTTTTGGAGGGTATGTAGATCTTGTTCCTCTGGTTACAGAAAAACCAATTTTGTTAATATTTGATTCACACTGGTGAAATTTAAACTTTCCTAAAATAAAACACGGCTTCATAAAGTTTCAAAAAAGTCCAACAGTGTACATTTTCTTTTCTGACGCTACTGTACGTCCTGAAACACCTTAACTCTGGCTCTGACTTTTCTGATTGGACTAGTCAAAAAATAAAAATTCATTTAGGTAGCCATCATATTAAAAATGTTGCTTGTAATTTTCACCTTAACTGGCTACATAATGATACTCTGGAGCGTGAACCGGCAAAAGTCGGCGATGACAACTTCGGCGACAAAAAACCAAAATCACACGACGATTGTCCTACAGGCCTTGCCCATTTCCATCTACTCTTTCGTGAGTTTTGAAGTTATTATTCTCGATTTTAACAAAATTACAGGTTTTCTTATTTTACGACATTATTTTAAAGTTTTCAACTTTCGATGGCTTCACAGGACAACTGATTTCTACATTTTATCTCGTCGTTATTTTTGTTTCAGGTGGAGATTAATCTATATTTTTTCCACAACTGTTTTCCAGGCTACGTCGTGCCTTTTTCATTCATTATTGGGAATCCGAAAAAGAGGAAAATCTTCACTTCATTCACCTTCAGGGATTGCTTCAAACCTAATAAAATATCGAACAAAAAAACTAAAGAATCTCCAGTTTTTATTCACAATTGAATAAAGAATTCTTTCTGGTTGAAACTTTCGAAATAATTAATAAAATTGAAGCATCTCGAAGCTAATTCTTGGAAGATGAATCGCCAAAAAGGACTCTAGCTGAGATTTCGGGAGTTCCAAGATCATAATTACTGTGGTAAAACCTATAGTTTGCCGTTTTTCTTGGTATTTAAGTTACAATTTACCGCCCCGGGCACATGATAGCAACGTGTAATTTTGGAGTTAATATAATGATGAGCTGGAGCTCCTCATCTCGGAGCCGCAGTATTTTCATGGGCAAAGTCGGAGAGGGTGGTAAAGGCTCCATAAAAATGTTCCCTTTTTGGGCGAAGAAGGTCCTCGGACCTTGGTAACGCGAACGGTACGCGAAACGGACGTGTCGGGGCATTTCTAGTGACCACTTTAGTAGCCTTAACGCTCTTAAGTGATCCCTTGAATCGCCCAAAAACGTCCGGAGCACGTCCGTTTCGCGTTACCAATGTCCGAGTCCCTTTTTGCTGCCTTTTTGCGCCCTTTCATCGGCTATTGTGCACCATTTTTGCTGCCTTTCCCTTTTTTCGCCAATTCTTGAGCCTTTAAAATCCCAGAAAAAACGGAAGGCTTGTTGAAAAAAACTCTTTTTGCTGCCTTTTTGCTACCTTCTTGCAGCCTTTTTGCTGCCTTTCTGTGGCCTTTTTGGAGCCTCTCCTTTCAGCGGCCATTATCCACCATTCCGACTTTGCCTGAGTATTATATTTTTTTTTTCAAATTTGACGTTCCAGCTTGAAAATTCTATACTAAAAGCCAAATAATACGAAAATTTAAAACTATACTATTGTAAAAGCAGCAAATTGAATTTTTGCGAAAATATTCGATCGTCAGAATTTTAATTTTTAGTTGTATAACGTGTAATTTCGGGTTGCTGGAACTCCCAATGTTAAACACAAAAAAGTAAAAAGCCCTTCACTTTTTTCAGATGGATCCGAATCGCGAAATTTTCGACATTACTCATATTATTTTGCCCCAAGCTCTACCCATCTTCCTACTTCATCTCGTCTTCATATCGATCCTGATTAAATTCTATGACGAAGATAAAAAGGTATGAATAAATCAAAATTTTAAACTTTTCCTTTCAGTTTGACTATTACCTTGCGGTACCTTGGATGGAAATTTTCACACTTGTCGGTGTTTCGGGACCCATTTTGGTAATAGTGTTGTATTATGCTCCAACTAGTGACATATTGAGCTTATTAGGCGGTTTTTATTTATTTTTCGCTTTGTGTTGTCCTCATGTTCTCGTATTCATCGACGCTGTTCTATGCCTTCATCGGCTTCTCAGCTTTTTTCAAGTCGCTCCGTGGTTTTGTAGGAATTTCGAATGGTGAGTTTCGATTTGGGTTTGATTATTTTTGGGGTTTCAACTCCATTCATTGGTCATTCGGAATGTTGAAAAAAAACGAACAGAGCTTTATGCTTCAAGAACGAATTTCATAAGAGAAGTATGTAAAATTCCAGGAGCTTCTGATTTCAGTACAAAACTAAAAATCATTGATTTGTCTCGTTTTGAAGATAAAAAAGCTGAAAGTGAGACAGAAATGGCAGGTTTGATAAAGGGCCGGCCCGTCAACCTATCAGCACCATTTTCCAAGCCCGCTCTCTGCCAGAATGGCGCACGGTGCGGTCTAGCCTTGAGCACTTCGGTGCGTAACTTGGGCCTGCACCTTGCAATATCGGTGATTTTTTTTGGTGCCGCACTGGGGCAGCACGCTAAAAGCACTGTTTTGACACCTATGCACCCGTGTGGCACCAAAAAATCACCGATGTTGCACGGTACAGGCCCAAGTTACGCACCGAAGTTCTCAAGGCTAGACCGCACCGTGCGCCATTCTGGCAGAGCTTCGGCCCGGATTTTGGGTGACCCCAAGCAAAAAAGCTCGAAAAGTGCATTTTTCTCCAAGCCAAATATAAAAATTTTTAACAACAAAAATCACAAGTTTGGTTCTTTCTTTCTCTTCAAACATCAGCAGAAGCTGATATTGAACATGTCTATCCCGTTCACGGCTGGCATGGGACATCGAACGGGCGGTTTAGTTTTCACGGCGAAGATTTTGGCTAAGCCTTCCATGAGAGCCCCATTTTTTGACTTTATTTTTTTCTAAATAATTTTTTCGATATAAAGAAAAACTGGAAACCGAATAAATTCAATAGAAAAAAAATAGTTGAAGAAATGAGGCTCTTATTACAGGGTGGCCAATAAATATTGAAACCGTTTTTTGTTTGATCGCTGCTTTTTGCACAACGGACTGGCCATTGAATTTTTTTGTTTATTTCGTTCATTCATGCTCACTTATCATGTGTTTGAAGTTACAGCTCCTACTTTTCAGTATTCAGGTAATGGTGGCCCCATCTCCGTACCGTACCGCAATCATTCATTGTGTCAAAAGCTGAATGACAAATTCAGAGATAGTTAAAAAGCTGAAAGTGTCTCGTGTTCTCGTTTTTCGAACTGCACAACGCTATCGGCGTCTCGGTACTTCAGATGACATGCAAATAGGTGACGTCCAATCAACGTCACGACTCCAGAAGCAGTCAAAGCCGTTCGAGAGAAAATCAGACGCACTCCGGAAAGAAGCATGAGAAAGATGTCAAAAGACTACGAAATGAGTCAAGGATCGATGAGAACTATTGTCAAGGACAAGCTGAAGATAATTCCCTACCTTATGCAGAAAGGAGCCTTTAACGGCCGAAACCATCCGATCATCGCTACTGACTATCAGAGTGCCTGTGAAAAAGGAAAAATTCTGAATAAAATTCCGCATCCGGCTTCCGTGATGGTTTTTGCCGGAATTACCGCTGACGACAAAACTCCGCTGATTTTTGTGGATCCTGGAGTCAAAGTGAACCAAGTATACTACAGGGCGTAGATTTTAAAGTTGGGGGTGTTGCCCTGAGCCAATTCTCACTACGGAAACCGACCATGGACCTTCCAGCAAGACGGCGCCCCCGCCCCCGCGCCAAAGGGACTCAAGAGTGGTGTCGCGCCAATTTTCCGAGTTCATCTCGGCTGCTGATTGGCCTGCTTCCTCGCCCGACCTCAACCCGATGGACTATGCCGTGTGGATATATCTGACCGAGAAGGTCTCTTCTAAGAACTACCCAAGTATCAAAGCCCTGTAGACCGCGCTCATCAAGAAATGAGACGAAATCGACGACGACTACCTTCGTGCCGTGATCGATGCGTATCCAAAGAGACTGAAGGCCGTTATCAAAGCTAAAGGAGGACGTTTTGAAAACTATTCTTGAATTTTGTTTCTATATTGTATGAATAAAATTTGTTCCAAGTTTGGTGGTGTTTGGTTGACTTTTGAGAAAGTTATAACGTTTCAAACGCGTTTCAATATTTATTGGCCACCCTGTAAAGGCGCTTGTAGAGTCGCCATGATCTACCTTCGCCGAGCAAGTTATACCACCCGTTCGCTGTCCCTAACCAGCCGTGAACAGGTAAACAATAGTTCGTCGGTGAAAATTTTGAGTTATAATGAAAAATAAAGTTCAAAAATTTATTCGATGCCAGCCTGGCCCAAGCGCTTTTTCGCAAAAAAAAAAGCCCGGGCCGCCCAAACTGACGCCGAAGGATGAAAAAACATCCGGGTACTATCTCTATGGTTCCTGGTTCGGAGGTCGATGCAAGTAGCTACCGGGTAGCTACCTGACGTTCGCGATTTCTACCGGAAAGTCTGGAATTGCTTTTCGGGTCGTTATTTTCTGTTTCAGCTTCATTCAATAAGACCCTGGAAGACTTAGGAAGGTGTAAAAAAACACTGGTGCTAAATAAACGACCAATGTGCCAGCCAGTGGCGATCGCGAATTTCAGGTAGCTACCCGGTAGCATCAAGATACCTCTCCGGTACTATCCAGGTACCATAGAGATAGTACCCGGTCGCATACAAATGACCACCGATTACGATACGCCGATTGAATTGAGTTACTATCCGCTACCTACTTCTATCCACCTCCCGACTCACCAGTGTAGAAAGTACTTTTAAAAAATGCTCTTATTTTTTCACTAAAACAAAAATCGTTTCGTAGCCGCTATAAGCCATCCCAAGTCAAGTCATACACATGAAAAAAAAATTCAAAAGCTTCAAAACATAATTTTTCCAGGCCGTTGGGTATTGCTATAGGAATATCGCTTCCCGAATCTGTGATTATCGTATTTTACGTGCTTCATGCATCGAAACCAATGTATTCGAAGCTAGATATCCTAGTCGAAGCCGTAGAAACTCCTTACTTGGTGGGAAATTTCAGTTTGCGATTATTATTGACTCTTTCCTCAGATTGCGGTCATTGTGAAAATGTTCCTGGTGACGTTCACCTTGTCCGGCTACATTTTGATCTTGTGGAGCGTGAACCGGGAAAAGTCGGCGATGTCGACGTCGGCATCGAAGAAACACAGCCACGTGACGATTATCCTGCAGGCCTTGCCCATCGCCCTCTACTCCGTCGTGAGTTCCGAGCCTGAAATACTCGAAAACTTGGCAAGATTCCAGCTTTTCCTATTTTTCGACCTCTTCATGAAGTTCTTCCTCATCAATTACTTCCCCTTGCAATCAGCCATTATTTACCTTATATTCGTTTTCACTTCAGGTTTTGACTGGATTTTTTTCTATTTTCAAAAACGACCTTTCAGGCTATGTCGTACCTTTGTCATTCATTATCGGGAACCCGAAATGGCGCAAAATCTTCACATCGTTCAGCTTCAGAAATTGTTCAAGATCCAATAAAGTTTGGGCGAGAAAAGCTACCAGAACTTCTGATTCTACCCCTGAATAAAGAAATTTGAACCGTTTGATTACAAGGAAATGTAACATGAAACGTCAAGATAATGTTCTAAATGGAAGGGTCCAGACAAAAAAATTGCAAAAAAACCTTAGGGAATTTCTAAGTGAGAGTAGTTCTACGAATCTAAAAAGGTTCACCCCAGAGTTTCAAAAAAATTCTGTGTAACTTTTTAGTTGTTTTTAATATTCAAAATGTTCGAGAATATATGAAAGTAGAGGTTTCACACCCAGACACAGGATGCTCTGTACCTCTCACTGTCCCTAGAAAAAAAATTAATAAATACTCCTAGGGATGGATTCAACCGAATGGACTTTCACACAAGGAACAACTATCAGAGTTTTGAAATTCGATCCACTGGGAAAATTTTTAGTGGCCACTATAGAAGCTCGCCAAGGACTACTTCGACACTAAAGTGGCCACTAAACCCCCCTCTATAGTAGCCACTATTGTCCGTTTTAGTGGCTACAGAAGTGTTTTAAAAACTACCGAAGTGGCCACTAAAGACGATCTCTATTTAGTGGCCACTTCAGTAATTTTTCATCCAGTATTCCTTCCAGTAACTTTGATAATTTTGAAACAAACGGATCTTTTATGTTGATCCATTGACCCCTAAAGTGGCCACTAAGACTTTTAGTTGTCTAGTAGTAGCCCTTAGACCTCTATAGTGGCCAGTAATTTTAGACCCCTTAAATGGCCACTAATTTGACTACTATAGTGGCCACTAAAAATTTTCCGAGTATTTTTAAGAGACGAATTACATGGTCGTGATTAGGATTTTCTCTTTCTTCTGAATGAAGAAAAAGCTGAAGAAAATAAAAATACAGCGAGGCCGGTATTGAATCGGAATCAGTTGTCGTTAGGAGTCACACATAAATGTCCATGTTCAAACAGGGAAGTCATTGAAGTTACTTTCCCATATTATTAGAAATAAGTTTAAGGCTGCAATTTTCGCTCTAGCCAAAAACTGCATGTAAAAGGGGCGTGGCCAGCCAATCAGAGGCATTGTTCGCCAGAGCAAATTTTTCTCTATTAAAAACTCAACTCAAGCTTTTTATTCACTTCCAGAAAATAATATGAAAAGTCTCAAAAAAATATGATTTATCGATTTAAAAAAAGATTAACTATTTTTTTGAAAACTCAAAAACTGACTTGAGATCAAAACGACGAAGTCGATCCGAGTTGAATTTCTGCCGGGAACCCCGATTTTTTTGGAAAAAGACCTTCGGAAGAGCCGGCCCAGGCGAAAAAGTTGAAAATCGGTGGCCAGCATGTCCAAAAGGTAGGAAGTACCTGCAGAAAAACCTTGAATTTACAAAAATTAATGAGGTTTTCTCATATTTTATTCGCAAAAGGTCTTGAAACAAACAAAAAAAAGCATTTTTTTTTTAATGAGTAATTAGGCTGTTTTTTTCTTTGATCTACTCCGTTTTTTTCGAACTTGTTAAAACAACTTCAGACTTCCCACCGATTTCGAAAGACTGAATTCAAAAATCAGCTCAAAGCGTCCTATTTTTTTCATTAAAATACGGGTTTTTAATAAAAGTACATCTTGACGGCTTTCGACCTTCATTTCACACAAAAAAATCCATTTTTTCTTCATCAGTTTATTTTTGACAAGTCTAGGGTATAATGGAACGGATAAAAAAAAGTACAAATGAAAGGAAAAATTATAACAAATATCTTTTTAAGATAAAATAAATAGCAAGTACTGTAAGCAAATGAGAAAAATGAAAATGAGAGGGCAAAACTTCAGAGATCACTTGAGCCGAAATCTTTGGAGAGATCGAGACAAAGCCCAGATATTGAAGGATAGAAATTGGGAAGGTGGTTACAAAGTTCTGCTCAAGGGGGATTGGAGGCTTCGCTTTTCCAGCCAACATATATCGAAAAAAATAGTTGAAGGGGTCCTTCTTCTCATTTCCCGCGGTAGTAGATCCGCATTGGGTCATGATGTATCAGCGGTGGTCGAGAGAAACGACGGCGAGGAGCTGGAGCAGCTCGGACCGGCTCCACTTCTTCTTCTTCTTGTGTGCTCAACTGAAAGGTGATAGCGATGAATTGTAGAAATCAATAGAAAGGTCGAAGCTTCTCTAGCAATTTTTTAAGTTCTGCTATGGACTTGAAAAGGTGGTACAGTCCGTTTCTCGCGACTTGATAGCGTGGCATTTCTCTGCGCCCTCATTATCTCTCGACGTCTCTCTCATGTTTACGTGCTGTTTCCGTGTTTCTCTGACCTCGCCGGTGAGGGAACAGAGAGACGCAGACACTCGAAAACTGTCAAGTCGCGGCGGATGGACTATAATCTACTTGAATTCTTACCGAGCCACTCGAAGTCGAATCTTCTTCGACTTCTTCCAGCCCCTCGATTTCTTGGTCTTGACGCCGTGGCGGATCCCTGTATCGCCAACGAAGAGGGTCGTGGGCCATCAAGACCATCCGACGAGGAGCAGGTTCGTCTACAGGAGCTGGAGCACGTCGACGACGACGATTCTCCTCTTCGGATTTTTCGATCTGGGATACATGAAATGAACTCAATAATGATATAGTCTGTTCAGATTTTGAATGTCAAGCAGCTAACTCCACCCCCAAGGCTACAATATCTCTCGCGTCAATGTTTTATCTACAGATGACGATGTCCCTTTAATAAGGCTGCATTTTTGACTTCTTTTTCTATTTTTTAGATCAAAAAAAAGGGAAAGGAAGATTTATTAAGTCAAGAAAATTATATCCTTTGAAACATTTGTTTCACTAAAACTTTTTTTCAATATATCAAATCAATGAGGATGTCAAGGAAGATCTATTTCAAGTAAAAACTAACAAATCTCCCGTTGAGCCTGATCCTGAGCGAGCTTGGGCCTGGCCCAGGCGCGTTCACCTCCGTTTCCAACTCGGACCCGATCGAGGGAACTCTCGATCTTTTTGCTCTTTGAGCCGCTCCTGCTTGAACATGACGACGCCTTTTCTAGAAACAATAAGAAAAATTCTAGAAATTTCAAAAAGATCCTTTACTTGTGCCCTTGGCGCCTCTGCCAGGACTCGTCTCTGTCGATTTTCATCTTCTTCCTGATAATTCGGAAATGAAGATGATTATGGCTCAAAAAACTAACTCGATGGGCTGTATTGATAAAATTTAGGAAGACTTGAACGTCTTCATATTCTTGTCGAGACACTCCGATTATTCGCTGTCCAACTGTCATTTTCGGGCTAAAAAGGATTATTTTCGAAATAGAGCATGGAGAGGTGGAATAATCAATCAGTAAAAACAATTTCAGCTCTCAGAAGTATCATTTGAAGTTTTTTTATTCAAAGAAAAAAAGAATCCTTGACAGAAATGGGAATAAAAAAATAAAATTTTTTTAAACTGTTTAAAAAAATCAGACTATTTTTCTAAAGTTTTTTTCTGAAGTTATCAAAAAGTTTATTTACTACAGTATCATCTTAGAAAGAATTGAAGAAATATAAAAAAATAATATAAGAAAAAAAAGATTAAAAAAAAAGAACAGCTCGGTAGAGCCGACTTGGACGTGGAGGAAGTGTTTGGGAGGCGGTTTGGGACTCGGGTCCAAGCTCCGCCTTTTTTCGACACTTGGGCCTTTTCCCGCAGACTCTAGACTTGAAGGATCATACCACTTCATTCTGAAGCGAGAAATTTGCCAGAGGCATTGGGGATAAAGAATTTTAAAGGTGTCACTTTAGGGATATCATTTGCTCTTTTTTCAAAGTTATTTTGAATTTAGAATGGTGTTGACGTGGTGTATGTTTGGAAAATGCGAACGGTTGGTTATACGGTAGCCTTGAAAACTTCTGCTGGCAATCTTTTAAAAGACTCTCGGTTAATTTTGGAGCGATCTTGTCACTGTGAACTTCAAAAAAAAAAAGCTCGAAAAAAAAATCGATAAATGCTTCAGAATATATGAATATTGCTATGAATGCTGGAAAACAGGTTCAAAAAAAGAATTGCGAAAAAAATGTATTACGTTAAAATATCATAATCGTGGTTGTACTTGTCTAAATTGGACTGTTAAAAATTTGGCAATTTGAAAAAAATCTAATTTGAGCCAGTTTTTCCGGAACTTATCTGAAAGTTTTATGAAAAAAATTTTTTTCTTATTACGTCTTGAAAAAAATGTTAATTTAATTTAAAGAAATAAGTTCAATCTTTGGAATGATTATAATTACTTAAAGTTTTTAAAAGTTCGTTTGAACTTTCACACGTTTCCATTCCTTCATTTTGATCCTTTCTTCAGTTTTTTTCAAGTTTAAAGCCGCTGAGTTCAAATTTTCCAATTTTGAAATAGAGAAGGATCTATTTTTATGGTTGGCAAGGTCTCCTCGCTCTTCTCGGAAAAAATCGCACGTCATCAGCCGCGAAACTCGGCTCTTTTCAAGGTAACGACATGCCTGGGGAAGGGTCAAGTTATCACTTTTCGCGGATATCCGTCGCTTTTTTGGGGTTTGAAGCGATAAAAACGTGACAGGCTAGAGAAAGTTGGGAATTTATGGTCTAAACATCTCTTTATTTGAATTCAAACTTTCCGAGAAACGCTTTGTTTCCAAAATTTGAATGATAGACTTCAAAAGTATGAGCTCAAACATGGAAAATTGTCATTTAAAGCATCGATTTCCAATGAAGGAAATGGAGTATTTTGAAAATACAAGGTTATTTCTATATTTGAAACAAGAAAAGTGTGAAACTAATGAACTTTAAGTGTAAGTTTTGAAATTATGATCTAACAACTCAATTTGTTTGAATAAAAAAGCTCCTAGCGACAAGAACTACTATTGGAAAAATTCTTAGTGGCCACTATAGGGTTTTGACGTTCTGGTGGCCACTCTAGTAGTCAAATTAGTGGCCACTATAGAGGTTTTGGCACACAATTTGAGAATATGTTTTTCAGTGAGAAAACTTTTGATGGTTTGAATTTTCAAACTTTTTTTGAGTTCAGGTTGATTAAAATTTGAAAGACTGCCGGGAAAACCCAAATCCATTTGTTTCGTGCCTCCCGCACGATGGCGACTGGGGTTATATCTTCAATTTTGAAGGAAAACTAATTTTTCTCGACAAGAACTATTGGAAAAATTCTTAGAGTCCACTATAGGGTTTTGACGTTCTGGTGGCCACTCTAGTAGTCAAATTAGTGGCCACTTAAGGGGTTTTTAATTAGTGGCCACTATAGTGGTCTAAGTGCAACTACTAGACCACTAAAAATTGTAGTGGCCACTTTAGGGGTCAATGGATCAAGATAACCTGTCCGATCTGTTTGTTTTAAAATTATCAGAGTTACTGGAAGTGATACTGGATGAAAAACTACTGAAGTGGCCACTAAATGGAGAACCTCTATAGTGGCCACTAAAACGGAAAATAGTGACCCCTATAGAAGTGGGTTTAGTGGCCACTTTAGTGTCCAAGTAGTCCTTGGCGACCCTCTATAGTGACCACTGAAAATTTTCCCAGTACTGAAAATATATTATGGTAGATTTATTCCACTCCATTTTGAGACACGTTTTGCTTTAAAAAGTATAAAAAAAGTTTTTGATTAGTCATTCAATTTTGAGGGGCTTACATCAAAGTTTGAAAATTCATAAAAAAATTTATCAACCTTCCATCCAGGACAACCAAGGTTTTCTGATTAAAAATTGGGAAAGTCCAAAAAAGGAATCAAATGAGAAACTGATTTCACGGATCGGTTCCTTTTTGATTAACCCCACGCATTCTCCCCATAAGTTTTCGAATAAACAAGTTGAACCGCACCGCGACCGCGACGCTTTGAGCCATTCCCGAGCGGAAAATCAAATTTTTACCACTTCTCAAATGCAAAGTTTGTCACAAAAAATGCGTGGGGCGAAAAAAAGGAAACGATCCGTGAAATCAGATTCTCGCTTAAAGTTCATTAGTTTCACACTTTTCTTGTTTCAAACATCAAAATAAGCTTGTTTATTTGAAATGCTTCAGTTCCTTGTTTGGAAATCGATAGTTTTAATGACAAATTTCCATGTTTGGGCTCTATTTTTTCGATTTTTCAAAGTACAGTACCGTCCACAAAAGTATATTTCAAAGTGGTTTTTCGAGCATAACTTCTATGAAAATGGTTCAAATGTCTTTAAACTTCGCATAGATTTCAAATAGCTATGCAATAACTCATTCCCGTAAGCATAGTTTATTAGATTGAGTCAGACCAAATTTGTGAGACAAAAACCGAGATCTTTCAGGTGAGGTTTGAAAAATCATATCACTGTTCAAAAAATTTTTTATACTTTCAAAGCGGAATACGTCTCAAAACGGAGTGGAATAATTCTACCGTAAGATATTTAGAGTAGTTCTTATCGCTGGGAGCTTTTTTATTCAAAAAAAGGGAGATGTTAAGATCATAAATTCAAAAATTCCGCCTAAAGTTTATTAGTTTCACACTTTTTTTGTTTCAAACATCAAAATAATCCGGTTCCTTGATTGGAAATCGATAGTTTAAATGAAAACTTTCAGTATTTGGGCTCTTTCTGAAGCCTCTTTTCTTCAGTAGTTTTTCATTCAGTATTCCTTCCAGTAACTCTGATAATTTTAAAACAAACGGATTGGACCAGTTATGATGATCCCTTGACCCCTAAAGTGGCCACTAAAATTTTAGTGGTCGAGTAGTAGCCCTTAAACCTCTATAGTGGCCACTAATTTGACTACTAGAGTGGCCACCAGAACGTCAAAACCCTATAGTGGCCACTAAGAATTTTTCCAATAGTAGTTCTTGTCGCTAGGAGCTTTTTTATTCAAACAAATTGAGTCTTTAGATCATAATTTCAAAACTTCCGCTTAAAGTTCATCAGTTTCCCACTTTTCTCATTTCAAAAATCAAAATAACCTTGTTTATTCAAAATACTCCATTTCCTTCATTGGAAGTCGATGGTTCAAATGACAATTTTCCATATTCAAGCTCTTTTTGAAGCCCTTTTTTCAAATTTTGAAAACAGAGTTTCTCGGAATGTTTTAATTCGAATAAAGAGATGTTTAAACCATAAATTCCCAACTTTCTCTAGCCTGTCACGCTTTTATCGCTTCAAAACCAAAAAAAGCGACGGATATCCGCGAAAAGTGATAACTTGACCCTTCCTCAGGCCTGTCGTTACCTTGAAAAGAGCCGAGTTTCGCGGCTGATGAGGTGCGATTTTTCCGAAGAAGTGCGAGGAGACCTTGCCAACCATAACAATGTATCCTTCTCTAGTTCAAAATCGAAAAATTGAAATTCAACGGCTATAAACTGGGTAAAACTGAAGAAGCTAACTAAATGAAGAAAACTAGAAAAAGTTGGGTCGATTTTTTTTTTGAAAATTTTGAGCAACCGGTAATTTTGAACTCATCCTGTTGCATCGTGAAAAAAATAACTGATTTTTAAAATTTTTCAAAAACAAATTCAGATAAATCCTCAAACGGGAATCTTTTTACAAAAACAATTAACTTATCCAAGAGTTTCAAAAAAAATTTTTGTTTGTGAATGATTCGAATAAAACTTGAAGTTGAAAAATATTTCAAACTGAAGCTACCGTATACCTAACTTTCCGCTCTCTGCAAACACAGTAACAGTAAACCGGAAACTTCCAAGGTATCATAAATAATCTCAAAAAGAAAGATCACTGAAGTAACACCTTCAAAGATCTTCATTCCCAGTGCCTCTGGCAAATTTCTCACCTCACATTGAACCGGAATGATGTCTGCGGGAAAAGGCCCAAGTGTCGAAAAGAGGCGGAGCTTCGGCCCGAGTCCCAATCCGCCTCCCAACCACATCATTCTGATCCAACTCGGCTCTACCGAGCTGTTTTTTCTTCATCTTTTTTTTCTATTATTTTGATATTTCTTCGATTTCTTCTGGGTTAATACTGTAGTAAATAAACTCTTGATAACTTCAGAAAAGTCGTTTTTTTGAAAAAGTTTTACTTCCTAGTATTTTTGTCAAGGTATTCCTTTTCTTTGATGAGTCAAGGTTCTGAAATGAATTTTTTTTTCCTTCTTGAATAAAGTTTGATGAGAATTGTAAGCCTTGCTTCTGTCTTATTTTTTTCTCTTCATAATCGTTTCAAAAATCATTTTTTCCATGACTAATCAAAACTTTTTTATACTTTTAAAGCAAAACGTGTCTCAAAATGGAGTGGAATAAATCTACCGTAATATATTTTCAGTACTGGGAAAATTTTCAGTGGTCACTATAGAGGGTCGCCAAGGATTACTTGGACACTAAAGTGGCCACTAAACCCACTTCTATAGTGGTCACTATTTTCCGTTTTAGTGGCCACTATAGAGGTTCTCCATTTAGTGGCCACTTCAGTAGTTTTTCATTCAGTATCACTTCCAGTAACTCTGATAATTTTAAAGCAAACAGATTGGACCGGTTATTTTGATCCATTGACCCCTAAAGTGGCCACTACAATTTTAATTGGTCTAGTAGTTGCACTTAGACCTCTATAGTGGCCACTAATTATAAACCCCTTAAATGGTCACTGATTTGACTACTAGAGTGACCACCAGAACGTCAAAACCCTATAGTGGCCACTAAGAATTTTTCCAATAGTTCTTGTCGAGAAAAATTAGTTTTCCTTCAAAATTGAAGATATAACCCCAGTCGCCATCGTGCGGGAGGCACGAAACAAATGGATTTGGGTTTTCCCGGCAGTCTTTCAAATTTTAATCAACCTGAACTCAAAAAAAGTTTGAAAATTCAAACCATCAAAAGTTTTCTCACTGAAAAACATATTCTCAAATTTTGTGCCAAAAAAATTTGAGTTTTTCTTTCATTAAAGGCTTCACTAGAATTATTGAGGCCTCAAAAAAGTTAGACACTCGATTTAATCAAAATATTATTTCTGAAGTTTCTTTACGCGATGATATTGAGTTATTCAGAAAAAGCCCACAATTTGAGAATATCTTATATATTCAGAATAAAAAAATAAAAAAATGTTTGACGGTTTGAATTTTTCAAATTTTTTTGTGGAGTTCAGGTTTAAAATTTTAAAAAAACCGTGGGGAAAAAAACCAAATCCTTTTTGTTTCGTGCCTCTCGCACGATGGCTACTGGGATTTTTCCAAGTTTTGTTGGCAGCCGAAGATGCCTTGAATTGTTTTTACGCGCTGAAATCGGAAAAAAATGTCTGAAGGATATGAAAATAAAAAAAAGGAATTTTTGAAAATTGTATACTGTGAAAAAAACGTCCCAGACTACTTTCAATTTTTTTCAAAGCTCAAAACTTCTCATTTGTGTACGCTTTTCTGTATTTTCTGTATAATTATTTTCAAGAAATCATCTCTTCATTGGGATATGAATATAGTTTCTAAACACCTTTTGAACAATTTCAAAAGTTTTTTAACAGCGAACCTAGAATGAAACTTTTTCCTCCCTGGGGTTTTTTTGAAAATATCATTTTTATAGAAAAAAATTTTTTTAGTTGACCTAGAATGGTGTAGGCCCCCTTGCTTCGGTAACCGTAACGGCAACAAAAAACTTTTTTTCGACCAGATATTTTGATTTTGAAACTAGTTATGAGCGAAAAACCTCGCAAATTTGTATGTCGGTTCCCGGACAGACAACTTTTTGGGGTGAAAAAGTTTTTTACTTGTTTTGATTCGGAAATGACCTACTAGATGTAAAAATGTGTGCTGATCACAATTTTTTTGGTTCCAAGCTGAAAAAAAAACGGAAAAAACGGAAGTTATTCGAAATTTTTACTTAAAATACATGTTTTTTTGATTTTTCGGGTCTTAAATGGAAAATTCGCCTAATCCAAGTTTAGCTCAACAAGAGAATATTTTTTGTGGTTTTGTTGAAAGCAAGAAAGAACGCTGGTTTTCAATTTCATACACTGGGTTTGATTTTTCTGAGAAAAATTCTCTAATATGAGCAAGAATGATATATTAGATTTTTTTAAAAAAATTGACGGAATGTATATTGCACCTCATGACAAACTTTGGTTGAGTTTCGTTGATTCTTTGTCGAGATATAGATTTTCGAATGGGTTCTACCGTATTCCTTCGAGCTACCGTATCTCGAAAACGGCTCGAATGATGCTATTCAGTTTTTTTTTTTCAAAAAATCCTAAAAATCGTGTTCTACAACATATCTGATTCAGAGAAAAAATCACCCTAACGCTCTTTTTTTTCCAACTCATCCTAAACCCAAATGGCGCAGAACAAGTCTTCGCCTAATGAATTTCTTCCAGCAAACGCTAAGATGAGCCGACCAGACCGACGAGGATTTAAAAGTTTTTTCAACCGTTACCGCATCATGAACAGACTCAGGGTTAGTTTTTCAAGAGCCAAATCATATTCAAGTCCAAATTTTCAGTTGAATGGCGATGACCAAAGGGGTCCGCTCCCCAATATGAGAGCGCATGAAGAGGTAAATGATTTTCTTGAAAATTCTAGTAATTTTCCATTTTTTTTTTCTAGAGACGCCGAGAAGAGGTGGTTCTGCCTCAGAGACCCCCCCGACTCCCACAGTTTGTGGCTGAAGTCGAGGGATCGGAGTTGGAAGATGGCAGGCCTGAGCGAGGAAACGTCGTCAACGTAAGAATTGTTAGTTTTATTTTTTTTTTTTAATTCAGAAAACTTTGCTTTTGTTGTCAAAAAAACCTTTGAATTGAGCTTGAAATCTCGAAAAATCTGATAAAAAATAAAATATACTGAAATTTACAGGCTCAGCTGCGTGGACAAGAAGGTATTCAACTACGAGGCAATGAGCAGGTTTGTCTATTTTCATACCAAAACTGGCGAATATTTTTCCTATTTCCTACTGAATCCAAGATCCATTTAGGTAGTTCCCTTAAACAATCCCATAAAAATAGAAAAACTGAATAATTTTTTCGCCTAAGAATTGATGAAAACTTTATTTTATCAATGGGAAACTGAATATTAAAAATGAAAAGCTGGGAAAATTTTTAGTGGCCACTATAGGGTTTGACGTCTTAGTGACCAATATAGCAGTCAAATTAGTGACCACTTAAGGGGTTAAAAATTAGTGGCCACTATAGAGGTCTAAGTGCTACTACTAGACCACTAAAATTTTAGTAGCCACTTTAGGGGTCAATGGATCAACATAACTGGTCCAATTTGTTTGTTTTAAAATTATCAGAGTTACTGGTAGAAATCTGGATGAAAAACTACTGAAGTGGCCACTAAAACGGAAAATAGTGGCCACTTTAGTGTCCTCTCCAAGTAGTCCTTTGCGAGCCTCCATAATGGTCAAGTAAAATTTTTTCCAAACTTTCGAAAATGAAATTTCGATATGAATCGGATTCTTTCAAAATTCACGAGGATCTCATTTTATCTCTAACTTTTGGAAATTCAAGCTTTTGATAAGGATCGCAGCCAGAAATCTAGGTTTCAACTGTCCCTTTTTGTGTTCATAACTGAAATGAGTTTCCAAATATCATTTAACCGCCAAAAATTGATACACAATACTTTCTAGGCTTTAACGGGGTGATGTAAGCTCGCCATTACCGAGTCCCTCTCTATACATATTTGTTTTAGGACGAAGCGTCGGAGGAGGAGACGCGACGTCGTCGACGGGTGGTAGAAGTACGTGCAGCGCCACGGCGGATGCTACTAATAGCACACGATCCGCTGTGGCGGCGATACCACGAACGGCCACGTCGCCAAGAACAGGACGAGGAAGTAGAAGAAGAGCAAGAGGAAGAGCCCGTGGCGAGGGCTCCAATTGCAGATGACTCGGTAAGAATTCAAGTAGAATAGCTTCTTTTCAAGTCCGAATGAGCCTTTGAATTAAAGAAGCCAAAAATGCCCTTTCCATTGAGTTTCCTAATCAACCTCTATCACCGCTATCACCTTTCAGGACTCGAGTTCTCAAGAGGAGGAGATGGAGGCCCAACCAGCTCGTGCAAGACAGTGAGGCTCTTCATAATCTTTCTCAATGTAATTTTCACTGGACTAATTCAAGCAAAACAAAATAAAATTTTTTTTTGATTTGCCTCGAATTGTGACATACATGGGCTGACAGGGTACTTATCACTTTCGTACCCCCTATTCATTCAAGTGGCTTTCCAAACAGCTGAAAATGTCTCCATAATAATTATTGAGCTTTTTCGATTGTTTTGAGTGGCGTATTGATAGAATATCTCTTATCCACGCTCCGAGCGGTCGATAAATCCGCGAGAAATCGTAGAAATCCACCCAGAAGTTATGAGTTGATCCGAATTTCGTTTAAAATACTTCCAATGAAGTAATTACATGTGCTCACCAACCCTTAGACCATTCGTATTTCTTTGCAAAAAAGTCAATTTCCGAGCTCTAAAAAAAAATACTTTTTGAAAACTCGCAGTTTTTGGCAAAAAATCAATCACACTAACCTCGAGCATACCCTATATAAAGACAAAGTTTCTGATTTCGGAACTTTCGGACGTTTTTTAACCAAGTTACATCGTTTCAAACTGTTACCACTTGACGGGTTGCGTACTCTCCCGTACTCCCCCAAAAAGCATTCATCGATCTGATTTCAATTTCAATTCACATTATCAACTACATTATATGATCTGGCTGAGTTTCAGGCCGTTTGAATGAGTTTTGAAAAAAAAAATCATTTTTTGGGCTATTCAAAAGTGGTTTTCTGAAATCCGTAATTTTTCGCTCGAAATTATTACCAACTTAGAGTTCACACCGAATAAAAGTGAATATTGAAATTTCTAAACTTCCGGACGTTTTTAGAGGCGAAAAATTGCGAATTTTAAAAAACTTTTCAGTAGTTCGAAAAAAGATTTTCCTCATCCAAACGGCCTGAAACTTGGCCAAATTGAAGGACTCAGTTGATAATGGAGATTCACATTGAAATCAGATCGATGAACGCTTTTTGGGGGAGTACGGGGGAGTACGCAACCCGTCAAGTGGTAACTTTCTCGTGTACGTAGCTACTTCCAGTAGCTCGCAAAACAAGATATTAGAAAACATTAATTGTTATCTCATCCCTAAAAACCAGTTCACATCGAAAGTTTCTGCGGGGGTGCACGTACTTTTCCCAGGGGGGTACATGCTTTTCCCAGGGGAGTACGTACTTTTTTAAGGGGGTACGTGATGACGTCACAAAAATTGGTTGGTTAGCCCATGTATTTAGGGACCGCAGAGCCACGCCCATTTCACTGTTTTTTCTTCAATTCCTTCTGCGTTAATACTGTAGTGAATAAACTCTTGATAACTTCAGAAAAGTCGTTCTTTTCAAAAAATTTTAACTCCTAATAACTTTTGTCAAGGTATTCCTTTTCTTTGATGAGTCAAGGTTCTGAAATGAATTTTTTTCCTTCTTGAATAAAGTTTGATGAGAATTGTAAGCCTTGCTTCTGTCTTATTCTTTTTCCTCTTCATAATCGTTTCAAAAATCAATTTTGTAACAGGATTAGAAAATTAGGAAATAAAAAGAAAAACAGAAAGGATTTTAAAGAAAGGAAAAAAGGAATTTTCCTGGGCAGCCGCGAACACGCGCCCTGCAGCATCCCTCAAGGGGCGAGTGAAGGGGTGAGGAAGCGTCCACGAAGGAGCGGTCAATTTCAATTTGTTTTTTGATCTTTTCTGAATATTTTTTTGTTTCTTCGTTAAAAAGAGCGGGAAACAGCTCGAAAGCTTTTTAGGGAATATTTCCCTCAGTCGCAACTCTCTCCTGTTGCTTGACTGGCAATCTCGTTCAAAGATGTAGAGTTTTGGTTGAGCTTAGCTCCCTTGGTTCCCGCTCTTGGGATTTTTTTTTTCTGTTAAACAGGATCTCATTTTTAACTTTATCTAGGACTTGGGTTGTTTTAGTTCACGTTCGTGTTTAGAAATGACCCACGTTGACCGAGAACAATTTCTTCTTAGATGGAAGGAGTTCTCAGGGTTTAATTCTAACCGTTGACTACTTTTACTCAGGACTCTTAAGACTGGGATTGTTTTAAAAGAGGTAGTCAAAATCTAGGCCAGGTTACGGTAGGTTTGAATATTTGAATATTTATTTCACTCTGATACATAAAACAACATGAACTACAAATAAAAATACATAGTTTGAGCAAGAATTATATTAGAGTGAAATTAGGGACCGGTTTTTAATACGCCCTCACGAGCGAATTTACCGGTATAGAGAATAGGACACGTAGTAGGATTTTTGATTACAGTAGACGTAAGGGAATGTTGGAAAAGAGTTCTTCGTTGCTTAGCGAGTCGAGAAACTTTCTGAAACGGGTGGTAGACGTGTTAGGGTTGAATCTTGAGCAGAGTCTATTCCAAAGAGGAATGACAGTGCTAAAAAAAAAAAGTTTTTCTTCGGAAACTAGGAACTCGTGTTTTTTCACATTTTTCTGGTGTATGGGTTTTTTCAACACGTGTTTTTCGCATCTCCCCTCCTTCTGTACTTCCGGTTTTATCTTGTAATAACCAAATTATAAAGATTTCGTTTATGAAGCGTTTGTTTGATGATGATGAACCAAAGTTATCTGGGATTAACGCCATCTACCGCGGAGTTGTCTCGCTTGGAATCTGTCCTTTTAGGGGAGGCTCCGGGGCACAGTCGGCGACATTTTTCCCAAGAGAAAAATTAGATTTCCTTCAAACTTAAAGATAGAATAATTAATTTTTTTTTTAACTTTCTTATTTTTTCCAGCAAACGCTGAAGATGAGCCGACCTGACCGGCGAGGATTCAAAAGTATCTTCAACCGCTACCGCATCATGAACAGACTCAGGGTTCGTTTTTCAAGAGCCAAATCATATTCAAGTCCAAATTTTCAGTTGAATCGCGAGGACCAAAGGGTCCGCTCCCCAATATGAGAGCGCATGAGGAGGTAAATGATTTCCTTGAAATTTCGAGTAATTTTTCCGTTTTTTCTAGAGAATTCGAGAACAGGTGGCTCCTCCTCAGAGACCGCTCAAACTCCCACAATTTGTGGTTGAAGTCGAGGGATCGGAGTTGGAAGATGGAAGGCCTGACCCAGGAAACGTGGTCAACGTCAGAATTGTTAGTTTTATTTTTTTTTTATTTCAGAAAACTGCTTTTTTTGTCAAAAAAAACCTTTGAATTGAGCTTGAAATATCGAAAAATCTGATAAAAAATAATAAAATACTAAAATTTACAGGCTGAGCTGCGAGGACAAGACCAAGTGGGAGGCGCTCAGCAGGTTTGTCTATTTTTATTTCTATTTCATACTTTTTTTCTATATTATACCAAAACTGGCTATTCTTTTTTTCTATTAGATTTGAAATTTTTTTATTCATTTAGATAAATCCGACAATATTTTTTTAAACTATCCCTCAAAAAAATAGAAAAAAACAAGATTAACTTTTTTTCGCCTAAGAATTGATGAAAACTTTCTTTTTTTCAACTGAATATTAAAAAAATGAAAAAAATTTTTTTAGTGGCGTCTATAGGGGCTTGACGTTTTAGTGGCCACTTAAGGGGTTAATAATTAGTAATTACTATAGAGGTCTAAGTGCTACTACTAGACCACTAAAAAAATTTTTAGTGGCCACTTTAGGGGTCAATGGATCAATATAACTGGTCCAATCTGTTTTTTTTTAAAGTTATCAGAGTTACTGGAAAGAATACTGGATGAAAAACTACTGGCTAAACAAAGAACCTCAATAGTGGACACTTAAGTGTCCTTTCCAAGTAGTCCTCAAACGTTTGAAAACACATTCTCGATATGAATCCCTTTTTGTCCCTGTTTGTGTTCATAATTAAATTGAGTTTCCAAATATTCATTTGACCGCCAAAGATGAAACACAATGCTTTCTAGCTTTTTGCATAAGAATGTAAGTTCACCATTAGCGATTCCCTCTCGATAAATATTTATTCAGGACGAAGCCTCCGAGGAGAAGACGCGACGTCGTCGACGTGTGGTAGTGGCTGAGGCACGTCCAGCGCCACGGCGGATGTTGCTTATTGCACACGATCCGTTGTGGCGGCGTTACCACGAACCGCCACGTCGCCAGGAGCAGGACGAAGAAGTAGAAGAAGAGCAAGAGGAAGAGCCCGTGGCGAGGGCTCCGGTCGCAGATGACTCGGTAAGAATTTAAGTAGAGTAGCTCCTTTTCAAGTCCGCATGAGCCTTTCAATTGAAGAAGCCTAAAAATGCCCTTTCCATTGAGTTTCCTAATCAACCTCTATCACCGCTATCACCTTTCAGGATTCGAGTTCTCAAGAAGAGGAGATGGAGGCCCAACCAGCTCGTGGACAGTGAGGCTCTTCAGAAGCGACTCCTCTTCCTTTCTTATGTGCAACTTTCTGCTTCTCAATGTAATTTTCACTGGAATAACACACCTTCTCTGAGAAAATCGATGACAGTAATAGAAAGCAGAACAAGATAAAATAGTAGATGACTCTATAGGAATTAGGAATTTAAGTGGAGAAGCACCTTTTCAAGTCCGAATTAGAAGCTTCAAGGCTATCAAAATTTTGAAGACGCTTCAAAAATGACCTTTCGATTTAGTCTCCCAATGAACCTTCATCATCTCTATCACCTTTCAGGAGTCAAGCTCTCAAGAAGAAGAGAGGGAAGCGGAGCCAGTTCGTGGAAGACATTAAGCTCCTCTGTAGTTCCATCTTGACTCCATCCAATTATCTCTAGACTGATCTCACTTTGTACTTTTTGAGCTTATTTATTATTGTTTATTGTGATAAATTGATTGGAAAAACTGATAATGTTCTAATTCATCACATAATGAAAGTCGCCAAGAACTACAGTCAGAAAAACTGAAAAAACCTACACTATAGAGTTCTCAAAAATAAATGTTTGAACGAACGTTCAACCAAACATTTTCCGAACATTCGACAAGTTCGACCAATTAGTTGAATTTCACATGAATCGTTTGGTAAAATCCATTATAATGTAGAGTCACACCAAGCATTCTTCTCATCATCTTCCTCTGCGCTGTCGCATTGAAAATATATTTTTTTACAGAAAAAACTGCAGGTTACATTGTCCCTTTTTCATTTATCATTGGAAATCCAAGAAAGCGGAAAATCTTCACTTCGTTCGGCTTGAAATCCAATAAAATATGGAATAAAACTACTTCGACAACCTCCATTCGCACTATTGAATGAAATCTTACAACCTTTGAAATTGATGATTATTAAAAGCCAATTTAAAAGACAGAAAGAAAATCGGTGCAAACCCTGATCTGTGGTCCCCGTTTTCTAGTCTCCAATTACAAAATGGAAACATGTAATTCAAAAATTTCGTCTTTCAGACTTTCCAAATCTGAAAATAAAAAACTTCAAAGAAAAAATGGAGTTGATTGTTCTTGGCTACTTTATCATTTATATTGTACTATCTCAAGCCTTTCTCCTTCCAGCAATTCATTTGATTTTCATCTATATTCTGATAAAATGCCACAAAGATGATAAAAAGGTGATTGAATTGCTAGGAACAATCTCCAGAAAGGAATACAATTTTCAGCTCGATTATTACATTGCGGTCCCTTGGATGGAATTTTTCACGATTATCGGTGTCACCGGCCCAATTTTGGTGATAATAAGTTACTTCTATGTAAACGATTACTTTGCTCTAGCGGCCGTTTTCTATTTGATTATCACGTCAACTTGTCCCCATATTCTCGTTTTCATCGACGCTATTTTATGTCTTCAACGTCTTTGCAGCTTTTTCCAAATCGGCTCATGGTTCTGTAGAAACTTCAAGTGGTAAACTTTCAAGAACGAAGTTCTTGGCCGCTTTTGGAATGGCTTTCTCGGTAGAATTTCAAAGCTAGCGGACAATATTCATTAAAAAGCATTTCATTACCGCAACACGTTCAAGCCATTCCGCATGCCGCCATAAATATTCAAACCCTGACACAATTTTCAGGCCCTTGGCTGTCGCAATCATTTTATCAATTCCACAATCTTTCATTATAGTTTTTTACGTGTTTCTAGAATCGAAAAGGATAGTTCCGAACCCAGAGGAATTTCTTCCGTCTCTTGAAACTCCATACAAGGTGAGAAACTTATTTAATTGACTTATCAACCTTTTGAGCCGATCTATTTTAAGGAAAATTGAAAAACTAGTGCAATCACTCTTTTCCTGTACTGAACCAAGGCCTAAATGGGCCCTACTGAAATATTTGTCAATTTAATCACTTTTTCAGTTCTCCATAACTATCAAAATATTCCTGGTAATTTTCACGCTATCTGGCTACATTCTGATACTCTGGAGCGTAAACCGGGAGAAGTCGGCTATGACAACCTCGGCTGCAAAAAAGGAAAGTCACAAGACGATAGTACTACAGGCTTTCCCCATTGCCATTTATTCCTTTGTAAGTTTAAACTGGAAATGATTAAAACTTGAAAAAAAATTACAGGTAGTTTTACTGTATGACTTTATTATGAAACTCGCATTTGATGGCTTCCTGGAAGAAATTGTTTTTGCATTTTACCTCATTTTCGCTCTTCTCTCGGGTTTTAATTAATTGAAGCTCACTTTAAAAGAGAAAATCTCATTTCAGGTTATGTCGTACCATTCTCATTTATTATTGGAAACCCGAAAAAACGGAAAATCTTCACTTCGTTTAATTTCCTGAGCTTCTTTAAATCTAATAAAGTATGGAATAAGAGAGCGTCGGAAGATGCGGTGAATGGAAGCGCATGAAATTTTTTTTTTCGTTGTAAAGTTGTTGTTTATTCTATCAGAAGTGAAAAAAATGGACGAATAAAGATTTTGAGACAGAAATGAGACATTGAGAATCTTTGGTTCATTTTACTTCTAACATTTCCAACAAAATCAATACTTCTGGGGATTTTTTGTCGGCACTTAATGACAGGTTGGTCAGTCTCAGACTTCTAGTATAAACACTAAACTCTCCAAGAAAATGGATTCGGATTCCCTGCTCACGCTCATACTTTATATCATTCTGTTGCAATTCATACTTCTACCCACACTTCATGCGGTTTTCATCTTCATTTTGATAAAATGTTATAATGAAGACAAGAAGGTTGGTCGAAAGGGATCCAACTACAAAGATTATTTTGAACTGCGGTTGTGAATATTCAAAAAAGACCATACACGGCATTCCTAAAGGGGTGAGGGAAGGTGAGGCGTCAAAGTTTCTGCATTTAAAAAAAAATTTAGGTGCGCGCTCCGGATAAAATGACCTCACAATTACACTGAGTATTCAACGTTAATAACTTATTTGTTCAATCGCCTTTGGCTGCGTACTTGAGATTTCGATTTTCGCGCCAAATTTTTTTTTTTGACTGTTCCCCATGCCGTTTGGGAACGCCGGGCTTAAACTAGGGATTCTGAAGGTCTCAACTTTTTTGTTTCAAGAGAAAAAAGCTCAGAGCCTCATGAAAGCCCCTTCAACGGACTTTCGAAGATTTTCTTCATTTTTTTAAAGTTTTTCTCGGAAAATAGTGAATTTTGCTTGTTGGGACTCCCAGGGTCTTCACTCGGGAGTATGAAGGGAGATTTTCGGGAAGGTTCCAACAAAAAGTAAAACTACCAATCATTTTATACTTTGATGAAATTTTCCAGATTTAAAATTCCCTTGCCCGATTCCTTCTATATTTCCTTTCCTTTTTGAGTAAAACTATCAAAAATTACCTAAATGAGATATTTTCCAGCTTGACTATTACCTCGCGCTACCCTGTATGGAAATTTTCACATTAATCGGTGTTTCGGGACCTATTTACGTGTTGACGAGTAATTTTATTCAAAAAGTGTTCAACCCTAACAAGTACGCTGTTTATTATATAACTTTCACTTGGAGTTGCCCTCATATCCTGGTATTCATCAACGCTATTTTATGTCTACAACGACTTTTCAGCTTTTTCCGAAAAGCCCAATGGTTTTGTCAACATTTCAAATGGTAAGTTGTGTTCGCCAATGATTTGAAATTTGAAAATTTGATGAGAATTTGCTGAAAGATTTTTTAGTAGCCCGGATTTCACACCAATCTAAAACCAGCATCACTTTCTTTTATTATAAGTAGAGTTAGGACGCCTGAAAGATTTCATAGACACTATTTTTCTACTACTGTAGACTACAAAGCTTAGAAATCTCAGAGTGGTGCATATAGGGGTTAGGCGAAAATACAAACCCTATGGAGGCCTAAAAAGTGGACGCACTAGGGGTAAAATTAAGGTTGTCCCTTGGGAGTCTAGGGTTTGACACCTTAGTCCTAATAGCTCAAGTGGACCCTATAGGGGTCTCTCAATTTCATTCAAAAAAGATTATTTATTCAGTTTTTCCCATGGAAATGCTTCTTTTCCTAGATCTCATAACAATTATCGATTAGCATAACCCTTATAGGGGCCACTGACTAAAACCCTTATAGGGACCGCTTTCAGAAGCTTTAGTGGCCCCTATAGGGTTGGTCAAGTGGTCTCTAAAGGGACCCTCCAAGGGCCCCTAAAGGGACCACTCTGAAATCCCTCAGCGAGGCTTTATAATCCCACTGAAAAGTAAAAAAGCGTAGTTTTTGGTCCGATTTGGAGTCAAGGCGTCTTAAAAACCGCGTCTCCAGTATTTCATCAAATTCTCAATAAATTTTCACATCTCCCATTTATAAGAAAAGTTATAAATTACCATTTCAGGCCACTTTTTATCACAATTATAATATCGATACCACAATCGATCATAATTGAACTGAACGTGGTTCAAACGGCGCTTATAGGGTTCAATGATACAGATACTAATCCAGAGCCAGAAGATCCCTATATTGTACTCTTGATGTACAAACCCCAGACATTCATTGTAAGGAAACTGCTATATTTTTTTAATATTCACATTTCTTTCCAGTTCTTCTTAGCTATCAAAGTGTTCCTAATAATTTTCACTCTATCTGGCTATATTTTAATTTTCTGGAGCGCAAATCGGGAGAAGTCGGCTACTCCGATGTCGAAAACAGGAGATCACAAGAAAATTGCCTTTCAAGCCTTGCCCATCGCCATATTCTTTTTAGTTAGTTTCAAGTCAAACACACTTGAGATGGAGCTCAACCTACAGCTTTTCTTATTTTATGACCTCCTGCTGGGTTTTTCGTCTTTCGATGACACAGCCGAGGAATGGATGTCCTTAAGTTATATACTCTTCCTTTTCCTGTCAGGTCGAAATAAAGTCTAGCGTTATATTTTATCAAAAAGCTTTTTGAGGCTATGTCGTACCTTTCTCAGTTATCCTTGGAGACCCGAAGAAGCGGAAAATCTTCACTTCTTTCTTTACTAGGAAAGTACAAGTACACCCCACTTGAGGATTCTATGAAGCTTTGCGGCCAAAGGAAAAAAAAAGGTTCTGGAAGAGAAAAATTGGCAATTTTGGAGCTCATCGATATCCTTTTGAACCAACTTTTTTCTATCATTCAATATTATCAGAGCATTTTTTTGTAAGATGCAACTTAAATAGTGACAAAGTAAAAAAAGTCAAACATCGGGTCATTGGAGGCTATAATTTAAAACATTTCCTTGATATTTGCGATATGATAATTTACCGCCCCGAGGACTTGAGAATTATATACAATTATCAAGTATACATGATAATTTTTTTTTTACTCTCAATCATAAATTCAGAAAAGGAAAGCCGATAAAAATGATCTTCGCGGGTATTGCTGGTTTCTTTGTTCTACTCGCCGTACTCTTCCAAGTTTTTTTCCTTCCCACACTTCATGCGGTGTTTATTTATATTTTGGTAAAATGCTACCGCGAAGACAAAAAAGTAAACTTCAATTATTTTTATTTTTACACAGATGTCTGATCCAGACCAGAAAAGAATGGAACATGATCTTCTTTTAGCACGACTATTATATTGCTATCCCAACGATGGAGATCGTCACACTCATCGGCTTTTTAGAGCCGATCACCGTTCTGGTCGGCTTTGTTCGAGGAGGGATCAGTGAGGAAGAAGTTCCTATTTCACTGATTGTTGGGTTGTATTTGGCTTTTTGGTCTCCCCATGCACTTGTGACTATTGACGCTATTTTATGTCTCCACCGTCTTTTCAGCTTTTTCCAAATCGCTCCATGGTTCCGTAAGAAGTTCAAGTGGTGAGTTGGAACCATACATTACTGCCGAGTCTGGCGCGAGGTCAATGTACCGCCAGGGACATCGCATTTATCTCAGCAGTTATTCTTACTAAGGATCTTTTTCAAAAAAAACGGTCCTTCGTTAGTGTGGGCAGACCACTAATCAATGTTTCCAAGTTTTCCAAAACTAAAAGTCGGCCACCTCCTGTAGCTTTTCCTTAAATTTTAAAAACCCCTTAAGGAGTTTTTTTTCTTATTTTGAAAGTCTTTCCTTTCCCTTTGACTATATGAGATCTCTATTTACCTAGGTAAGACTTAAACTGAATTTGGGGGAAGGCAGAAAGTCAATTCTGTAGTCAGTTGCTAAACTTTGAAACTTCAACAAAAGAACACACAGATTGGAGAAACAATCTCAATTGCTCAAAAAGAGCATAAAAAATATATTCGCCTTTTCCAGGTTTCTATTCCTATGGATATTTCTTTCGATCCCGATGTCATGTATACTTGGCCTTCAAAGGATTCAAGCATCAATCAATGGAAATGAAATGACACTGTCGACCTCGTACATTGTAAGCTTAATCTATTTTCGAGAATATTTATAAGAATTTCAATGGCATAGTTATTTCTTGAAGAAAGATTAGAACGATCTTTCGTTTATTCCAATTTTTTTACTTCCACTTGGAATAACCGCCGAAGTAAACGCGAGGTGTTGGCGGTACATTGACGAACTCGCAAATTTTTTTTTCTAGGTACGACCTCGCATTTTCGCATTTCTGTTCTTGAGCTTCTGAGAAAAGCGAGATCGCGCGTCTAGGAAAAGCGGCATGCTTGCGAGCTCGTCAATGTACCGCCACCGACCTCGCACTTCGCCAGTTATCCTTAGTTTATGCATATGACACCTCATGTTTTTCCACCTTTTCATCAATTCAAAACCGTTCACAGATCGCACAGACCATCAAAATATTCCTGGTAATTTTCACCTTATCTGGCTACATTCTAATACTATGGAGCGTAAACCGGCAAAAGTCGGAGATGACTACTTCAGCTGCGAAGCAGCAAAGTCACAAGACGATCGTCCTACAGGCCTTGCCCATCGCCGTTTGTCCCTTTGTGAGTTTCATGCGTTGACTATCTTATCATAACTTCAAGATATTTCTCACTTACGACGTTCTAATGACACTACGAATTGATTTCGGCACAAGCGTCAAGTTCGCGCCAATCTTTGATACTCTCAGTTACTACATATCAGGTTTAAACCCATTTTTGATTCTTTTTTTTTGAATTCCGTTTGAACTGCTTTTTTTATACCTATTAGTTTTTAAAAACAACATTCAGCTTATGTCGTACCTTTCTCATTCATCATTGGAAACCCGAAGAAGCGCAAAATCTTCACTTCGTTCAGCTTCAAATCTAATGCAATCTGGAGTAAAAGAACTACTAAAACTTCTGATGTTGTCAGCAGTTGAATAAACTATTTTTGACATTTTATTGATATTATACTTATTAGAAATATACATCACCAAAATTCCAAAAATTGGGTTAATGATATTGAAACTTCTGATTCGCAGTTATTCCTCACTTTTTCCTTGCAATTCATAACATACTACCAAATATAAAAAGTCGGAAAGGGTGGAAAAAGGCTCCATAGAAATGTTCCTTTTACGGTGACAAAGTTTTCTGTTTTGTTGCCTTTTTGCGTCAAATCATAGGCTCTTATGCACCATTTGTGTTGCTTCTGCCTTTTTCCACCACTTCTCAGCAGAAGCCTCGGAACTCTTCGAAATTATGTACTTTTTTGAAAATATTTCTAACACTAGGTATTAAACCTCCTCGTATCATTTTTAATGGACGTTTCTAAGTCCTTTAAAAAAAAACTGATACATACTGGTCATTTTAACGATATGTTGTTACCTTCAAGCGTAAACCGGGAGAAGTCGGAGAAAACATGAGAAGCCTTTTCTAATGTTGCTCCTGGCCATCTTTCGTGACTCCAACCTTAAAATATTAGTATAAGTCCTGATGTTTCCTGAATTTATCATTTGATTGATCTATCTTGCGAAAAACTGGCACCAGCTTCTACCACATGGAATTTTCTTTCCATTACTTTACAAGTTCTGTTTTTTTTTTTTGAAAGATTCAGCTTCGAAACTAGAAAATCTAAAAGTTCCAAACACGAGTTTTTTTAAAATGAGTTCAAAAATTTTCAGAAAGAGGGTTTATTATTTTTTTTTTTTCGAAAAATCCGAACCCAAAGCTGACAAAATCTTAAAAAAAAAGTCAAACATCGGGTCTATGTAGGTTATAATTTATAACAGCATATTCTTGGTATTAGCATTGAAAAATTTGATATTTTACCGCCCCGAGTATTCGAAAATAATATACAATTTTCAAGTTCACATAATAATTTTTTTTTCTCACTTTCAATCATAAACTCAGAAGAAAAAGGCTGATAAAAAAATGTCCTTGGAGGCTGTTGCTAGTTTTTTTATTTTATTCTTCATACTCTCCCAGGTTTTTTTCCTTCCCACACTTCATGCGGTGTTCATTTATATTTTTGGTTAAATGCTATCGCGAGGACAAAAAAAGTAATTTTTTTAATTATTTTATTATTACACAGATGCCAGATCCTGACCTACAATAAAAAAATTAATGAACCTTAAATTTTTTTAGCACGACTAATATATTGCTATCCCAACGATGGAAATCGTTACACTCTTCGGCCTTTCAGAGCCAATTATCGTTCTTATCGGCTTTGTTCGAGGAGGGATCAGTAACGAGGAATTTCCCCTCGCACTGCTTATTCTGTTTTCTTTGTCTTTTTGGTCTCCCGATGTACTTGTGACTATTGACGCTATTTTATGCCTCCACCGTCTTTTCAACTTTTTCCAAATCGCTCCATGGTTCCGTGAGAACTTCATGTGGTGAGTCTTAATCATACTTGACTGTCGAGTCGGGTGTCGAGAAAAACGCGAGGTGGAGCCTAAAAAAAATGCAAAATCCTGTGCGAGCACAGAGCGAGATATTTGCGAGTTCGTGGAAGAAAGTAAATTCGGTGACTAGCTGCTTAGTTTGAAAAAAACATTGGAAAAAAAAACTCTCACTCTCAAATGCTGGACAAGACTATAAAAATATACTCGCAGTTCCAGGTTTATGTTCTTATCGATAATACTTTCGATTCCGATGTCATATATACTTGCCTTTCAAAGGATTCTACCATTAAGCGATGGAGATGAATTGACACTCTCGACCTCGTACATTGTAAGATTATTCTATTTTCGAGAAGATTTATAATAATAATAGTTTATTCACTGCCATAAAAAAACATTAGGTAGTATAGAAAAAGTATAAGTGATCAAAATATGACGGGTATAAGAATAACAATACGCGGGAATGAGTCTACCCCAACGAGTTGACATGTACCCGGAAGTAAGAAATTTTTCATAGTAGACGAAAAGGGATATTTTCATAAAAAGCTCGATTCGGAAGATTATTCAATTTGTTCCGAAGGGTTTCTGGGGGGACGTTAAAATCTAAATATGAAGTTAATTTATTCCAAAGAGGAATAGTCCTAGAAAATTAGTCCTTAGAAAACTGACCAGCTGTCGTAGTCGATGTTTTAGAATTTCAATGGTACTAGTTCTCTCTTAAGGGAAATTCTAGCGATCTTTTTGTTTGTTCAATCTTTTTACATCTATCTTGAACCAAAGTTAAAAAAATATTACAATTTCAAATAGTACAGTGATAAATCTATGTCAAGAAACACGAAACTTTTTTTAGTGTGGATATCTGATAACATTGAAAAAAATAGTGTTTTATTGTAGACAGATTTGACATCAGCGTGAAAAAAACTACATTTAGTGGACTCAGTCTCGTTTCATAGATGATCTGGAGTTCCAATCAGATCTCAAATTCTCATTTTTTTAAATAAAACTTTGACGAGTTCAGAGAATGTTTATTTGCTCAAAAAAATCTTTGGAGAATCGAAAACACAACTTTCACAAGTTTCTCCTCTTAACATATAACTTCTCTTTTTTATTAATTTTCAGTTAATGAAAAACTGTTTACAGATCGCACAAGCTATCAAAATATTCCTGGTAGTTTTTACCTTAACTGGCTACATTTTGATACTATGGAGCGTAAACCGGGAAAAGTCCGCCATGACAACCTCGGCGGCAAAGAAAGAAAGTCACAAGACCATTGTCCTACAGGCTTTGCCCATCGCCATGTGTTCCTTCGTGAGTTTCAAGCTTCAATTATCTTATCATAGTTTCAAGATATATTTCATTTCTGACGTTCTACCGAAATTACAAGTTGATTTCGGCACGATCGTCAGGTTCGCGTCAAACTTTGATACTCTCCGCCACTACACACCAGGTTTAATCCCCCTTGAACTTTGCTTGTCTTTGTGTTCCGTTTGAAGTGATTTACATATATTAATTCTCAAAACGTCTTTCCAGGCTATGTTGTCCCTTTCGCCTTTATTGTTGGAAACCCAAAGAAGCGCAAAATCTTCACTTCATTCAGCTTCAAATCTAATGCAATCTGGAGTAAAAGAACTACTAAAACTTCTGATTTCGTCAACAGTTGAATAAATGATTTTTTTGACATATTATTAATATTGTACTTATTAAAAATATACATCACCGAATTTTCAAAAAATCGGGTTAATGATATTGAAACTTCTGATTTGCAGTTATTTCTCCCTTTTGTTCCTTTTAGGGCGAAAAAGGCTCCTTTTTGCTGCCCTTTTGCGTCATTTTCTTAGCCATTATGCACCATTTTTGCTGCCTCCCCCTTTCTCCACCATTTCTTGAGCCTTCAAAATCCAAGAAAAATTGGAAGGCCCGATAAAGGGACTCTTTTTGCCGCCTTTCTGCGGCCTTTTTTGAGCCTCTCCTTTTAAGCGACTATTAGCCACTATTTCGAATTTGGGTACATAATTGATGGGGGATCCCGAAATTATTAAATGATCAGCTAGAAATTTGTAGAAGTCCAAAGACGATTACCTCGGAAACAAAATTTTCTTCCGGTATTGCTAATTGCCATCTTAATCTAACTCTGAAGTAATAATATAAGTTCCGATGTTTCCAGAATTAATTATTTGATTGATGTATCATGCGAAAAACTGGCACAGCTTCCATGGAATTTCTATGGAACCACATGGAATTTTTTGCTATCACCCTTACAAGTTCTGTTTTTTTTTTCGAAGATCCAGGTTCGAAACTAGAAAATCTGAAAATTTCAAACACGAGTACTTGAAGAGAAAGAATTGCGAAACGTTTCAAACATAGGGTTCATTTTTATTTTATTTTTTCGAAAAATCGAAACCCGAAGCTGACAAAATCTTGTAAAAAAGTCAAACATCGGGTCTATGAAGGCTATAATTTATAACAGCATATTCTTGGTATTAGCATTGAAAAATTTGATTTTTTACCGCCCCGAGTATTCGAAAATAATATACAATTTTCAAGTTAACATGATATTTTTTTTTCACTTTCAATCATAAACTCAGAAGAAAAAGGCTGATAAAAAAAATGATCTTGGAGGCTGTTGCTAGTTTCTTTATTTTATTCGCCGTACTCTTCCAGGTTTTTTTCCTTCCCACACTTCATGCGGTGTTCATTTATATTTTGGTTAAATGCTATCGCGAAGACAAAAAGGTAAAATTGGGGTTTTTTTATTGTTACACAGGAAGTTTACAAAAATTAAAATCAATGAAGATAATTTTTTTTTTAGCACGACTATTATATTGCTATCCCAACGATGGAAATCCTCACACTTATCGGCCTTTCTGAGCCAATTACCGTTTTGAGCGGTATTGTTCGAGGAGGGATTAGTCAGGAAGAAGCTCCTTTCTCATTGGTTATTCTGTTGTATTTGTCTTTTTGGTCTCCCCATGTGCTTGTGACTGTTGACGCTATTTTATGCCTCCACCGTCTTTTCAGCTTTTTCCAAATAGCTCCATGGTTCCGTGAGTACTTCAAGTGGTGAGTTGGAACCATACATGACTGCCGAGACTGGGGCGAGAAAATTGCGAGGTCGGTAGCGGTACATTGACGAGCTCGCAAATATGTCGCTCTGTCCTCGCGCAGGTCTCACATATTTCTGGTCGCGACCCCGACTATAAAACTGCGAACCCCTGTGCAAGATGAAATGTTTGCGAATCCGTCAATGTACCACCACTGACATCTTCTTACTCGATATCTATTGCAAAACGTTCTATAATGAGTGTAAGACCATAAAGGCCATCAATCCCTGCTCCCAAGCTTCCCCAAACTGAAAACTGATAGAGTCCTGTAGAAATTCCCTAATTTTTCCAAACTGCTTGAGGCTGAAAAAAGATATATTCGCACTTTCCAGGTTTATGTTCTTATCGATAATTCTTTCGATTCCGACGTCATATACACTTGCGTTTCAAAGGAATCAACCATTAAGCAACGGAAATGAAATGACACTGTCCACCTCGTACATTGTAAGATTATTCTAAATCGAGAAGATTTATTAGAAATTCAATGTCACAGTTCTTTCTTGAGGGAAATTTTGAGCAATCTTTTGTTTGTTCTAACTTTCTTTTTTTATCTTAAACCAACATCAAGAAGATATGATATCAATCTTTCTCTCAATGATTTTCGGTATCAGTGAGAAAAAAAAATTTCAGTTTTCTCCTCTTAACGTATAACACCCCTTATTTCTCCACCTTTAATTTAATGCAAAACTGTTTACAGATCTCAGCAGCTATCAAAACATTCCTGGTAGTTTTCACCTTATCTGGCTACATTTTGATACTTTGGAGCGTAAACCGGGAAAAGTCCGCCATGACAACCTCGGCGGCAAAGAAAGAAAGTCACAAGACCATCGTCCTACAGGCTTTGCCCATCGCCATGTGTTCCTTTGTGAGTTTCAAGCTTCAATTATCTTATCATAATTTCAAGATATATTTCATTTCTGACGTTTTAACGAAACTACAAGTTGATATCGGAACGAGCGTCAGGTTCGCGCCCAACTTTGATGCTCTCCGCCACTACACATCAGGTTTAAACCCCTCTTGAAACCTTTCATGTGTGTTCAGTTTGAACTGCTTTTACATATAATTTTTCAAACGTCTTTCCAGGTTATGTTGTCCCTTTCTCAATTATTATTGGAAACCCAAAGAAGCGCAAAATCTTCACTTCGTTCAGCTTCAAGTCTAATTCAATTTGGAGCAAAAGAACCACGAAAACTTCTGATTTTGTCAACAGTTGAATAAAAATTTGTATATAAAATTTTTTCTTGAACCTTATGATGAAAGATGAATCTGGAATGGTAACTTTCTCAAAGTGTACATCTGCAAAATCACGAAATTTTCAAACTTCCAGTTACCATGATGGAATCTGTGATATGCAGACTTTTGTTCGTTTCATCTGCCAGATTATCACATTTCACCAGCCTGGGTTCATTATAATTTTGTGATATTCAAAAACTTTCTTAATGATAGGCCGTAAAATTTTCAGTAAAAAGATAGAAGTCGAAAAAAAATTTTCATTTTTGAGTTTGGCCAATAAATATTGAAACCGTTTTTTGTTTGATCGCTGCTTTTTGCACAAAGGACTGGCCTTGGATTTTTTTTGTTTATTTCGTTCATTCATACTCACTTATCATGTGTTTGAAGTTACAGCTCATACTTTTCAGTTTTAAGGTAATGGTGGCCCCATCTCCGTACCGTACCGCAATCATTGATTGTGTCAAAAGCGGAATGACAAATTCCAAGATCGTTAAAAAGCTGAAAGTGTCTCGTGTTCTCGTTTTTCGAACTGCACAACGCTATCGGCGTCTCGGTACTTCAGATGACATGCAAACAGGGGACGTCCAGTCACCGTCACGACTCCAGAAGCCGTCAAAGCCGTTCGAGAGAAAATCAGACGCACTCCGGAAAGAAGCATGAGAAAGATGTCAAAAGAATACGAAATGAGTCGAGGGTCGATGAAAACTATTGTCAAGGACAAGCTGAAGATGATTCCCTACCGTATGCAGAAGGGAGCCTTCCTCAATCAAAAAAACGAGACATTGCGGATGAAAAAGGCTTGAAAGCTGCTCGCTGGCACGCAAGATGGCTCGCATCTGACGACGCTATTTACCGACGACAAAATCTTCACTGTGGAGGCGAACAAGAACGGCCAAAATCATCGGATCATCGCTACTGACTATCAGAGTGCCTGTGAAAAAGAAAAAATTCTGAATAAAACTTCGCCTCCGGCTTCCGTGATGGTTTTTGCCGGAATTACCGCTGACGGCAAAACTCCGCTGATTTTTGTGGATCCTGGAGTCAAAGTGAACCAAGTATACTACAGGGAGTAGATTTTAAACTTGGGGGTGTTGCCCTGGACCAATTCTCACTACGGAAGCCGACCATGGACCTTCCAGCAAGACGGCGTCCCCGCTCATCGTGCCAAAGAGACTCAAGAGTGGTATCGCGCCAATTTTCCGAGTTCATCTCGGCTGCTGATTGGCCTGCTTCCTCGCCCGACCTCAACCCGATGGACTATGCCGTGTGGATATATCTGACCGAGAAGGTCTCTTCTAAGAACTACCCAAGTATCAAAGCTCTGAAGACCGCGCTCATCAAGAAATGGGACGAAATCGACGACGACTACCCTCGTGCCGTGATCGATGCGTATCCGAAGAGACTGAAGGCCGTTATCAAAGCTAAAGGTGGACGTTTTGAAAACTATTCTTGAATTTTGTTTCTATATTGTATGAATAAAATTTGTTCCAAGTTTTGTGGTGTTTGGTTGACTTTTGAGAAAGTTATAACGTTTCAAACGCGTTTCAATATTTATTGGCCACCCTGTAAGAATCACTTCTTTTTTTTGAATTGAAGATTGAAGGTTTATCTCTTTGATGACTTTTTAACAAAACTACAAATTAATATTGGCACATATGTCAATCTCACGGATCATTTGACTCTTATCAAAAACTTTATATCAGGTTTCGACCCATTTTTGTTTTTTTTTCTACAATTTATCGAAAACGCGATTCCAGGTTATGTTGTCCCTTTCTCATTCATTATTGGGAACCTGGAGAAACGCAAAGTCTTCACTTCATTTCGCTTCAAGTCTGAAAGAATTTGGAGCAAAAAAGCTACTCAAACTAATAATTTTAACAGTTGAATAAACAGATTTTATTTTTTAATGTGCTGATGAGACACAATTACTAAAACCACGTATATTCAACATACTTCTAATTTACAAAAAGACTCTAGTAGGGATATCAGAAAACATCAAACACCCAGTTTCTTAGAAGAAAAAAGCTAATTGGCAGCCTTTTTTGAGTAGTCACTTTGCAAATTATAACATTCTACCGCCATAGGGGATCATGATATGTAAGTTTGAATGTAACTGGAGGATTTGTTAGACTTTTTGTTAATGCTAATAGAAAAAAAGTTACAGGGAAAATAAGACATTATTTTAGGAATGGGGTGGATGGAGAATATTTCGGCCGTTTTCATTGTTCATATTCTTTTATCTCAAGTTTTCTTCCTTATCACACTCCACGCAGTGTTCATTCATACTTTTATAAAATGCTATCCGGAAGACAAAAAGGTAAAATTTAGTTTCTCTTCCTTATTTTAAAAACAACGTCTTCTTTTTGAAGCTAAAAGATAATGAAGTTTCAAACTTTCAGCACGATTACTACATTGCTATCCCAACGATGGAAATAATTACACTAATCGGCCTTTCCTTTCCGATTTTCGTATTGATATGTTTCGTTAAAGGAGGGGTTAATGGGTATACCGCAATAATGATGCTTTTTCTGGTATTCACCCTCTTCTGTCCCCACATTCTCGTATTTATTGACGCTGTTTTTTGCCTTCACCGACTTTTCAGCTTTTTCCGAATTGCTCCGTGGTTTTGCAAGAAATTCAAGTGGTCAGTGTAGTAAAATGGACTAGTTTGTTAGACAATCGCGCAAGTCGTTACACGGTTGCTGATCCCTCAAAAAATATATAAAGAGGAAGAATTGAATTGTTGATGAGCATAAAAAGAGAGATATTATGAAAAAAGTTGTGCATTTTTAGGTTTCTCTTCTTGTCGATAATATTTCCGATTCCCCCGTCATGTCTAATTGTCCTGCATGGTTTTCTGATTTCGCGACGAGTTACAACAGAAGCAAACGAATTCTCAGCAGCACTACAGACTCCCTACATTGCGAGTGATATTAGTAGGGGGCGCAAAGCCCCGCCCCTTCATGCCACCAAAATGACGATTTTTTTGTTGCAGAAACGGTTTTGAGGCGTTTATACTAACTAAAGTTCTATATTAAAAAATAACTATTTCTGAAAACCTATGTAATCGACAACGCTCTACAAGACGGAATCTTTTTGAAACCATGTATTTTTCATAAATAAGCGAAAAAGTAGGACTTAACACAAAAAAAACTGACAAGTTTCACAAAATCGTCGCGTTTCAGAAAACCAAGTGAGGAACGCTTCTAAATTTTGAGTGTGTTATACATTAACACTTTCTTTATTTTTTTGAGTGAAAAATAAAAAAATCTACCGACGCGAAAAAAATATTAAAGCTTGTAAAGTGACACCAAACTTTGAAGCTGAAATGCGAAAAAAATTTCAGCGACATGGTATACTTTTTCATTTCATTTAAAAAAACTCACAATGTGTTTAAAAAAATAAAAAAATTCAGAATGAAAAATAATTATTGGGACAGCGAATCAAATTATATTTGAATTTTTACCAAAACCTCCTTTTTTTCGCCTGCCTCGTTGACGCATGAGAGAATAGGATCGCGTCTATACTTTTTGTTTATGTTATTAAGCGTTCAAAACTCTATCAATGAAAAAAATTATGAAAAAAATCAAACGACGCGAAAAAAATAACGGCTTTAAAAAAACCTCGAAAAAAATGTCAATTTTTTTGAAATTTTTGGAAGAATTCGTGCAAGCGTTCGTAGCTGTGTTTGCGTCAAACACACCGATGCGCACTTTTAAATGTCACAGGAGCCGTTTTTTTCGGAGTCAAATTGCACATTTTTCCTGTTTTATTTCGAAATAACATTATTTTTTTCATTTTTTTCTTTTTTTCAAACCAAATGATAATAATTTTTTTCTCATTAGAAAAAAAGAAAAAAATAAGCTGAAAAATTCGTTCTGACCTTTTTTTCTAAGTAGTTTTTTTGATATTTTTATCAAAAAAATTCTTATGAGGATTGTACAAAAAGATTCATACCAAAAACATGAAGCTCAGTCCGGACAACCTCTCAGAACAGAAAACCGATTTGAAAACGGTTCAGAAATGCGCAAAAGCATTTAATAAGAAAGCGTGCGGCAGCGGGTAAACCGTGAGATTTTGCCTCCAGTTGTACGCCGCGCGCGCTCGTTTTTCGGCCATAACTTTTTTCTTAGTGGAGCTTTTTTCTAAAACTAAACGGAATATGAAAATGGACAGTCTCCTCTATCGAACAGTGTGAAAAACATATTTTTTGGATCGTTTTGAAGAAATGGCTTGCGGACCCTAGATATTAGTTTTTTTTAACTTTCTAGAACCAGCGCCACCTAACGACCAATATTTTTCGCTTCATATCAAAATATTTTCCTAGGTCTCATCCGCTATCAAAATACTCCTGATGGTTTTCACTTTATCCGGCTATGTTTTAATACTCTGGAGCGTAAACCGGGAAAAGTCGGCGATGACTACTTCGGCTGCGAAAAAAGAAAATCACAAGACAATCGTCCTACAGGCTTTGCCGGTCGCTTTATTTTCTTTTGTAGGTTATAAAATTGAATAATATCATTTGAAATCCAAAATTCAAAGTTTATCTTTCCAATATTCCGTGTAAAATCTTCACTCGAAGTGGTCGCTCTCATTCTGAGGCTTCCACCTAGAGCACGGTCTCCGGGCTCCAGCACAAGATCTGCTACATTCTGAGCTCGTCAAGGCGCAACTGGATGGACTACGCGCAGAAGGACGAGGCGAAGGACCGTAAGACCATGCTTTCAACTCTTTCGACTACACGTTTGGACTTCTAGCTCGCCAAAGGCGGTTGTTCGTTAAAGCTTTCAAAGTTCTTGTTCACCGCCTAGTCGTTTACATCAGACTAAAACAACAAAATGAATGATTTGATTTGATTGAATGACTTTTTAATGAAACTACAAATTAATATCGGCACGTAGGGAACGCTAACGAAGCATTTGTCACTTCTCAGCAACTTTATATCTGGTAAAAACCCGTATTTATTTTTGTAATAATGTTTCTCCAGGCTATGTTGTCCCTTTCTCATTTATCATTGGAAACCCGAAGAAGCGCAAAATCTTCACTTCGTTCAGGTTGAAACCTACTGGACTTTGGAGCAAAAGATATAAGATAAACTGTGATGTTGTTAACAGTTGAATAAACTCTTTTCTTGAAATTGGTAATGATAGCCAGTAACTAAAGTGAAGTGAAGACTATTTTCAAACGGACCTAATTTAGTTGATATTTCGAAAGTTTCGAATGTCAAGTCTATGATAATAATTATAATTTTTCAGCTTTTTCTTCGTCCTTGCGAATTATAGCATTCTACCGCCCCGGGTACATGATAATAGTATATAACTCACTTAATAACCAGTTCGAATTTTTTCAGCACAAACTTAAAATTCAAAAAACTTTTCAAAATGCTAGAAACCCTTTTTGGATATTTCATCGTTTACGTTGGTTTATCACAAATTGCACTTCTTTTTATTTTACACGCGGTATTCATTTATATCCTGTTAAAATGCTATAAAGAAGACAAAATGGTAAGACACTTCAACTGCAAACGCTAATATATTTCTTTCATGACTTTAAAAAAGAATGAGAAACGTACCAAATCCAGTTTTATTTCATAGTTACAGAGTGCACTCACAAGGGAAGTCATTTACATTACGGTTGGGATTACCCTGAAAATTGGCCAGAAGGTTCCTTGATTTACCAGAAGAAGATTCTGAAAGTCGCAAGCAGCAGAACTCCCTCGTTTTTGAGGATAGACGCCTCAAAGTCGAAAAAAACCATCAAAATTCATGAAAAGTAGGCTTTCAGCGTTTATTTCTAGAAAAAA